ATCAAAGGTCTTTGTGAGCTCCTGTACTGACTGTATCAAAGGTCTGTGTGAGCTCCTCTACTGACTGTATCAAAGGTCTTTGTGAGCTCCTCTACTGACTGTATCAAAGGTCTTTGTGAGCTTCTCTACTGACTGTATCAAAGGTCTCTGTGAGCTTCTCTACTGACTGTATCAAAGATCTTTGTGAGCTCCTATACTGACTGTATCAAAGATCTTTGTGAGCTCTTTTACTGACTGTATCAAAGATCTTTGTGAGCTCCTTTACTGACTGTATCAAAGGTCTTTGTGAGCTCCTTTACTGACTGTATCAAAGGTCTTTGTGAGCTCCTTTACTGACTGTATCAAAGGTCTGTGTGAGCTCCTTTACTGACTGTATCAAAGGCCTTTGTGAGCTCCTCTACTGACTGTATCAAAGGTCTTTGTGAGCTCCTCTACTGACTGTATCAAAGGTCTGTGTGAGCTCCTCTACTGACTGTATCAAAGGCCTTTGTGAGCTTCTCTGCTGACTGTAAAAAGGCCTTTGTGAGCTCCTCTACTGACTGTATTAAAGATCTTTGTGAGCTCCTCTGCTGACTGTATCAAAGGTCTTTGTGAGCTCCTCTACTGACTGTATCAAAGGTCTTTGTGAGCTTCTCTACTGACTGTATCAAAGGTCTTTGTGAGCTTCTCTACTGACTGTATCAAAGATCTTTGTGAGCTTCTCTTCTGACTGTAACAAAGATCTTTGTGAGCTCCTTTACTGACTGTATCAGAGGCCTTTGTGAGGTCTGTGAAGGTAGACTAGAGGTCACAGTTTTGTTCTGGACACTTTCCCTGTAGCTGACCAGCAGCAAAGATCATATCAATGGTCCCTCGCTCTTTTCGGTAGCCACACTGGCTCTCAGGCAGGAGGTCTTGATCAAGATGCACCGTAAGACGGTTGAGGAGAATTCTAGCCAGGATTTTACCAGCAATAGACAGAAACGAAATTCCACGGTGATAATCAGATACCAAGCGGTTTCCTTGACGTTTGTACAAGTGTATGATTGTTGCATCTTTGGAGTCGTGTAAAAGTATTTCTTGCTGCCATATGAGTTGAAATATTTGGTGTAATTTATCGGCGAGGACATCACCACCTTCTTTGAAAACTTCTGCAAGACCAGGAGCTTTACCACTAGACATCTGATCAATGGCTTTCTTAGACTCCAGAAGAGTTGGTGTTTCGTCTAGGGCTACATTCATAAGGACCTGGGGCAAACCGTTTACAACTTCAGACGATAATATTATATTGTTCTTGAGGTGGCGCGGGTATCACAGGCCGTAGCGATGGTGAGTGTGACTAGCAAGACAACCCCCTCCCCCCCCCCCACCTTTTACGTTAAGAAAAGTCTACTACAATTATAGCATGATATTTCCGGACTGTTGTTTGCATCACATGTATTTAGCGTGTTTCTGCTCAAACGCTCAGCAACCTTACTGCAGCCATGTTTTGCTTCATTCACATTCCCTTCCTGATTTTCCCAATCTACTCAGGACTGACCATGGCATTTTGTTGCCATGGGGTTTGAAACTATTATTTCTATATCATTCATGTCCCGCTTGTATATATATTTATATCGTAGTAGAGGTCGACTTCAACTAATACCCATCTGTAATTCCCCATAGAGCAGCGGTTCTCAACCTGCCGGTCACGACCCTTTTTTTTTTGTTGGGGGGGGGGGTCGAACGACCCTTTCATAGGGGTCGCCTAAGACCATCGAAAACATATATTCATTGAAGTTATAAAGGAAAATAATTGTTTGGGGGTCGCCACAACGTGAGGGAACTGTATTAAAGGGTCGATGCATTAGGTAGGTTGAGAGCCACTGCCATAGAGTATGTCCTTAAGCTTTCTGACATACTAGATTCTCCAAGTTTTGCTCAGCCACTTGAGCCTCGGAGGTTGCGTACTGAATAATAACCCTTTATAGGAACATAGAGGGAGCCACGGTGGCATAGTGTCTTGACGCCTGTCTGTTGGCCATAAGGTCTTGGGTTCGAGTCTACAAAGAAGCACATTATGTCGAACCAGTATAAAATTGGTGCAACGACTGTCGTGGAAAGTAAAGGTGACCAGCGTGACTTTGACCACATAACCTATTAGTGCCGATTGGTCTATAAAACAATGAGACTGATCATGTGCGAGATGCGTCATCAGCGTAGAAGGGACCTTTACTTATTATGAGTAGAAAGAATTTGGAATATATTATTACAAGTGAAAAGTTGTACTTGCATACAAAAAGGAATAGAGGAAGACAGCGCGAGACGATTCTTGACAGTCTTTTTTTTATGACATAGAAGAGTGTCAACATATGAACTAATACAAGCTGTTGGAAATCGCAGGTTGTGGAGAGGCATGAATGCACACGCCAGTCGGCAAAAGCCCACTCGATGATGATGATGATGATGATCCCCAGTTGGTAGGCAGGTCAAGGGTCAGGGGGCGTCAACCTGTCTCTCACGTCTGCCTCAGTACTGTGCCCTATCAACTTCCGGCTAGGTTTTCAAAATTGACTTTGTTTTTTATCCGTTGAAATAAGTTAACTAAACTATTTCGTGGTGAATATTTCCAGCTTCTCTAGGTACATTTCACATTCTAGAATAATTGCATGCATTTTCAGAATATCATTACGTCAATTTTACTAAATAGGCGAAGGCAGCTTTTCAGAAAATGTAAGTCACTCTCATTTAATGTCAGAAAGGCAGTGATAACTACTGATAACAACTAAAATGTTACTTACATAGAACCTGTTCTGTTGTATGGCAGCGAATCTTGGAATGTCAGTGAAAAAATTAAGACGCTTTTGGAAGCAACAGAGAAGTGGTTTCTGAGACGGATGTTCAGAGTAGCTTTAACAACGATTTTTTGAAAGAAGCTAATGAAAGTCGATCTCTATATTACTATTTACAATAAGAAGGAGACAAACACTGTTGTTTGGCCACACAATGAGAAGAGAGGCATTGGAAAACACAGTGACAACTGGAAAGATCAGTGGAAAAAGGGCTAGAGGCAAACCAAGAGAGATGATGCTGGATGGACTGAAACGATGGCATAGAAGGATATTATCTAGAGAGCTGTTCCAGGCAACCAGGGATGGTGATCTGTGGAGATGCATGAGCGCTTAGGCCAACTGGCAGGGCACATGATGATGATGAATTGGGTTATTTAATGATTATACGACTAGTAAACACACAACAAACCTGTATATGTTTTCCATTTTAGTGTTTTGGACTGTTATAAGAAACAAAATTGCGGTACTGATATAGTAAAACTACTGTAGCTGCTGTTTTGTTTGCTACTAAAGACTTTCTGAGACGTTCACTGTTTACATGTGCATTGCCCTTCACTGAGCTTTCTTGTTAATTTTAATTTTTATTCAGACACACACGAACCAGCTAAGCCTTTCATTGAACTGAGATCTTTTGGGGTTTAATTTATGTTTTCCCATAATTGTTTTCAACATTTTTTTTTAAAAAGATTGGTTTAAGAAAACATTCAACTGGCTTGTACATCATCATAAACAGAAGTCTTAAATTGTTGGTGAATTAGTTGCTCCTTTAGTGTTAGTTATTGATTTAGTAGATGCTGAGATTAGTACCAGCTGAGACAGTCAATAGTCACTATTATACCGGCTGAGACAGTCAATAGTCACTATTATACCAGCTGAGACAGTCAATAGTCACTATTATACCAGCTGAGACAGTCAATAGTCACTATTATACCAGCTGAGACAGTCAATAGTCACTGTTACAATAATAATATTACTGATTAAAAATTAGCATTAATATTTCAGTTTGAAATATAGAATAGTTAAATTACTAGTAGAATTTATACAGATCATATCCTGTTTTCCTTCAAAGTCAGCGTGCATTTGTCTGAGGGATGTGGAACCAATAGTCTGCATACAAATAAGCCAGATCTGTAAAATAGATGTACACATAAAACTCAGATTCTGGAGGATGACCAAAGTCCAGAAGTGGATGAGCTACCAGAACTTTCTCAAAGTTTACAGCCTAAGAACACTAAGATGCTTATACTCTTTCCTCTTTTAGCCACCATTAAATTATAGCCTGTTTAACTCTTTCAGTTCCATGTACAACTCCATGTTTTTTTTTTTTGGGGGGGGGGGGGGGGGGGGGGTTAATCTAAAGAAAGTGCATTTCTTACTCCTGCTTTACTGCATATAAGTCGATGTGGCGTTGGCGGCCAGACACCCGCTTACAGACCGGAAGGTCGTGGGTTTACGTCCTGATGGAGCCAGACTTTTTTCAGAAATGACCTTGACTACCAGGTCGACCCAGCCTTGAGTGGGTACCAGGTGCAGTCCTAGGAAGTAAAGGCGGCTGGCGTGATGCTGACCACACCACCCATCAAGGGCTGATTGGTCTATAAACATATAGGTCTAGCCTTAAATTCCCAAATGAAAAGGGCTTTTTTTTTTTTAACTCACTTTACTTTATTGCAGACACTTGTTACATTTTGATGTTGTTGTTGTTGTCCGGGTCGGTCTCCCAAATGCTCAGCCTGGCCGCCCGACTACCCGAAGGATATTACGTCGGTAATCCAGACTAATCCAGACTGAACGGGGAAACCGCCTGGCAGATTTTTTAAGATGGCTTTGCCGATTGGGTTTCTTCCGTGACTTAGTGATGACTGATCCCGGACCTCTTGGCCAGACCCAGTGCAGCAAAGCTGCACTTTGGTCTTAGCCAAAAGGCCGAGAAGCGATCACTCTGAATTTTTATTAATTTTACTCAGCAGCGTTACTCGTTTACTCCCGTAGTGTTATTATTTTGACTTAAGACTCAAACACCAGCTACTTTAAACAAGAATATCTCATGACATAAGAAGGTGAAGTTATTATTGTCTGATACTAAAAGGGCAAACACACTCACTATTATGTGCTAACTCAATTATGTTACGATAAAAATGTATATTTCCTCAAATTATTAAAGACTGGAAACTAGCTTACTGTTGTCAAATGGAACCGGCCGGGTTTAAGACCGTGTGTCTGCAGGCCTGTCTGTGTTGTTTGTGTCTGTTACTTGGTGCGGAAGGCAGAGCTACATCCCCCAGACCTCACATTATTCTCATTGTGGCAGATGATTTGGTAAGTACATTTGGCCAAATAGGCTCACCTTGGGTATTATGCTTCCATTTTGTTTAGCTTGTTTTAATTTAAAATATGCTTTATTATTCCTAAATAAGAATTATTCCTAATTGTGTCAATTGTGTTATTTTGGGAAAAGTACAGAAATTTAAGTATCTGGGCACATGGATAACATTGGTAGGAAGATGCATTACTGAGATATGAAATAGATTAAGATTGGCAAAAACTGAATTTTATAAAATGAAGAACATCTTGTGCAATATATCTCTGTCATGGAAGGTTAGAAAAAGAATTCATGCTTGCTACATACATCCAGTTTTAACATATGGCTGTGAATCCTGGACAATCGGTAGGTAGGCCAAACAATTTCTTGAGGCCTCAGAAATGTGGTTTTACAGAAGAATGCTTAAAATACCTTGGACTGCCAAAAAGAGCAACCAAGAGGTTTTGAAGAAGGCGATAGCCCGAAGACAACTTATCACAGACATCAGAAGGAGACAGTCATCATTTGTTGGCCATGAGAAAAGGGAAAATGGAACATGTTGTGACCACTGGAAAGATCTGTAGAAGGAGGGATAGAGGAAGATAATGAGAAACAAGAGAACATTCTTGACAGTCTTGCTGCATGGCATGGAGGTGTGTCGGCACACGAACTGATACATGCTGCAGGGGATCGCCGATTGTGGAGAGGCATGATCGCCCACGCCAGTCGGCAAGGCACATGATGATGATGAGGGTTTATTGGTTAGAGTAGATGTATTTCATCGGCGTCTGTGGCCAAGGTGTTGCAAATGTATTTCATAATGCTGGTGTGCCAGGTTAGATCCCAGCTGTGGGTGGTTGGGCAGCAGAACGTCTTTGCGTTGGTTTCGACAGAGTTGCTGTGAGCTGACCGTTTAGAAGCAGTGGCAAACTACTGAACCTAAAATTTGGCTGAAAAGACTTCCTTCAAAGTCGGAGCACATCTGCCTGAGAGGCAAGGAACCAACAGTCTGCATACAAATAAGCAAGATTTGTAAAATGAATGCACACTCAAAACTCAGGTCCTGGAACAAAGCCAAAGTCCAGGAATGGACGAACAACCAGTACCCATTTAAGACTGGATAGACCTAAGAGCCACGGTAATGTTTTGGATGAAAAAAAATACCACTTCTATGTCTGTTTATTCTTCATCTTTCGCTTACTGCATAGTGCTCTTGTCTGGCCACACCCCTTTTAACTTGATGTTCTTGCAGTATGGTCATTGTTGTAGATTCACAGCTATTTAAAGAAAACACAGAAGAAGTGATAGACTCCGACCCTAACGCAGGACACCATTATTCATTACTTTTTTCGGGAGCCTTAATTATAACCTGATGGTTCGGACAGGGTTTCTGGGACCTGTCTCCGAGGGATCTTCATCTGAATGGGGGCACTTTGTGTCACCGGATCTTTATCCCTTGGTGTGATGTCCTGGCGGAGTTAAACATCAGTCAGTGAGAAGTGATAGAGATCACGGAATTAGAGAAATTAATCAGGGACAAAGATATACTCAAGAGAAGCAAATAAAAAACTATCTAAAGATGCTTGTGAACAGAAATATATTCTTACATAAATGTTCTGCTTCTTCTTCTGAGTGTTGACCAGTGTAAACTCTAGCCATGAAATTTTGGTTGTACTTCCATTACTGGACTTCGAGCCTGTTCCAGAACGTGAGTTTGCATGCACAACTGTTTTACGGATCTGGTTTATTTGTATTCAGACTGTAGGTTCCTTGTCTCTCAGCCAGATGCACACTCACTTCAAAAAAGACATCCCTAATTAGTAATCTATTAGGTGCAACTGAAGAACAACCTGACATACCAGTCTCTTATCAACAGAAGAAGAGAATGATCAAATCAATCAGAATGCCACCGAAACTGGCACAAGATGATTACCATCTTATGGACAGACCAGAGCAAGTTATTATCCTTCGCCTTAGAACAGGGCACAATAGACTTCGCTCCCTCATGTACAACAAATTTAAGATTGGCCAATCGGCCATGTGTACTTGTGGACTGGCACCTGAAACAACAGATCACATCCTTCAAGACTGTCCCATATTCAACGCTTTCAGGCAAAACATTTGGCCAAAAGAGACACTTGTGGAAGTCAAACTTTACGGGCCGCTTAGTGAATTACAAAAGACAGTGAAATTCATACAAGAGACGGCTTTGCAGATATAGACAATTTATTTCATGCGAACGAAAGAAGAAGAAGAAGTAATCTATTAGTTAGTTAATCAACAGATTATCCTCATTGCACATCAGGCAAGCCCATAAGCGCATGGATCCCATCTTCAGAATGTCCCCCAGCATAGGGCGACTGATAACACTAGTTCTGTGTTGGTTTACTACTCTTCTTTGGCTGCCTGTATAGTGTTCATGTTTGGCCACCTGTATAGTGCTCATGTTTGGCCACCTGTATAGTGTTCATGTTTGGCCACCTGTATAGTGTTCATGTTTGGCAACACCTATTTTGACCTGAAGTTCTTGTAAAATCCTTTTAGTAACCTTTTATGACATGCTTGTTAAAGGGGGAAGGGGGATTAAATTAGTGGATCTGCTCTTCTTTACCTCAAAATGAGGCCCCGGAATCCACACGAGGACCATAATTGTTCAAGAAATTATATTAATTGTTCATTTATTAAAATTATTACTGTACACTTCTCTACAGGGTTACAATGATGTCAGCTTTCATGGCTCTGACCAGATTCCAACACCCAACATTGATTTCTTGGGTTACAACGGAATCATTCTCAACAACTACTATGTCAGCCCTATTTGCACACCTACTCGTAGTGCCTTAATGACAGGGAGACATCCAATACATACGGGTATGCTTTTGCATTATGGATACTTCTTCTTTTTCTTCTTCTACTTCTTTTTTTTCTTTTTCTACTTCTTTTTTTTCTTCTCCTCCTCCTCCTCCTTCTTCAACTTCTTCTTTTTCTTCTTCTTCTTCTTCTTTTTCTTCTCCTTTTTCTTCTTCTTCTTCTTCTTCTTCTTCTTCTTCTTCTCCTCCTCCTCCTCCTTCTGCTTCTTCTTCTCCGTCTTCTTCTTCTTCTTTTTCTTCTTCTTCTTTTTCTTCTTCTTCTTCTTCTTCTTCTTCTTTACTTTTTCATTTTTTTGTCTTTTTTTTTTTTTTTTACATTTTCTTAGGTTCACTGGCTGCAAACTTCAGCATAAAGTTCTGGTTGTTCATCCACTTCTAGACTTTGCTCTTGTTACAGAACTTGAGTTTTGTTTGTATATCTGTTGCACTGATCTGGCTTATTTATGTGCAGACTGTTGGTTCCTAACTTCTCAAGTAGATGCACTTCAACTTTAAATGAAATATGCATCATTAGTCTCCTTATACTACTTGCCTGTTGGTGGGGGGGGGGGGGGGGGGGGGGGGGGGGTGGGGGGACTGGGTTTATTCTTTAACCAACATTGGGAGTCATCCCTGGAAAGTGATCTCTGAAATGTCAAATTGTGTTTATCTGAACAAAATTTTAATAACTAGATGTGATACATACTTGAGTAACTGTCTTTAAAGGACATTCGAATGATTCTACATTTAATACATATTTCATCTGCTGTTATCGAGGTATCTGATATATGAGAGTACAAGACTTGTTTCACAATTGTGTTCAGGCATGCAGTCTGGTGTGATAGTTGGAGACCAGCCATATGGACTTCCCCTCAATGAAACCATTATGCCTCAGCACCTGAATGCACTCGGCTATCAGTCACACATTGTTGGCAAGGTAGGTTGATTAGATTTGCTGGCGAAAAAGTAGATTAACTCTGTTGTAGGAAGGGAGTAGCTTTAGAGTGCAGATCAGTGGTTTTTTTGTGGGAAGTTGGTGGATTTGTTGTAGGAAGTTTATGGTTTTGTTGTGGGAAGTTTATGGTTTTGTTGTGGGAAGCTGGAGATTTTGTTGTGGGAATTTTGTGGTTTTGTTGTGGGAAGCTGGTGGTTTTGCTGTGGGATGTTGGTTGTTTTTTTGTGGGAAGCTGGTGGTTTTGTTGTGGGAAGCTGGTGGTTTTGTTGTGGGAAGCTGGTGGTATTGTTGTGGGAAGCTGGTGATTTTGTTGTAGGAGGCTGGTGATTTTGTTGTGGGAAGCTGGTGGTTTTGTTGTGGGAAGTTGGTGGTTTTGTTGTGGGAAGCTGGTGATTTTGTTGTGGGAAGGTGGTTTTGTTGTGGGAAGCTGGTGATTTTATTGTGGGAAGTTGGTGGTTTTGTTGTGGGAAGCTGGTGGTATTTTTGTGGGAGGTTGGTGGTATTGTTGTGGGAAGTTGGTGGTTTTGTACTTTGAAGTAAGTATTTTTTTTTTTTTTTGCCTGGGAAGTTTGTGGTTTTGTTGTGGAAAGTTGGTGGTTTTGTTGTTTGAAGTAAGTATTTTTTTTTGGGCCTGGGAAGTTGGTGGGTTTGTTGAAGAAGGTTAGTTTTGATGTGCTTAGTAAGTGGTGATTGGGGGGGGGGGGGATTTGAGAGAGAATGTGGTTTTGTTGCAAGAAGTTATTGGCTTTGTTGATATATCTTTTCATTTTTCATCTGTCTGAGAGTTCTAGGGTCCTGTTTATGTTGCAAAAATAATAGACCCTACTGCCGTCTTAAAAAAGCATGTTGTAAAAAAAGCAACTATTGAAGGGTTTACTGAAATCAAACTCACAAAGACACACCGAGCCTTTTACCATCTTTATGGGAAACAAGACTAAATACTAATGTTGACAACAACGGCCCTGAAATCCCAAGCTTGTGTAAGACTTTTCTTCACATGGGCAGGTCTTGTAAGTCTCACCCGCCATTGCCATAGGCAGTGAGTCGCATGCCTCCTTGTAGCACAAGATAATACCGTCTGAAAAGACAAAGGTGCCAGTCCAATGGGCGATAGCGCGATTAAAGTTAGACTGTATTGTCTGGATTTTGTATCCGGGATATGCCGGTGTGTTGGGAAATGAACAGATGGACAGACTGGCTAGCTCTGCACATCTTGGTGGAATGCTGATGCATGAAAAGGCAGATGTGGTTAGTGTCTTGGGGGAGAGCGTATACAGTTGGGAGGAGCAGATGGATCACCACAGTCTGATGAATTTGATGCAGCGGGGTGTGACGAGGGGTTCTGGCAGATGCTCGAGGCTCAGAGGAAAGGCAAGACGGAGGTTTATTCAGAATGCTACTGGCACCATTAGTATCGGGACTCTGCACTGGCTGCTGAAGATGGAGACAAAGTGCTTATGGAAATGCCCTGAGTTCTGTTCTGTCGGTTCTTGAATCAGCTCAACTCAACTCAGCTATGTTTATTGTGTCTGCAGTGGCATCTGGGAATGCTTAAGTGGGAATACACACCCCTGTACAGAGGGTTCAAATCCCACCTAGGCTATTATCAAGGCTGCGAGGACTATTATACTCACACGTACGAGGCTAATTTGGTGAGTAAACATTGATTCTGTCATGTGGTAGTATGTTGCCTAAAGTTTGCTCTTGCATATTCTTCTTCTTCTGGGCTCACACTTAAAAGGGTGGTTGGCGTGTTATGTTGTTGTGTACAGCTAGGTTGCAGTATCTGCACCTTTTGACTCCACATATCCGGTTTCGCTTGTCCTCCCAAAAATGAGGTCCAGGAACGCGCACAGAGAAATATGTTACCGTATGATTTGTCTTTATTTTTTTTTCCCTTAAGTGATCGTATGGTAGCACATTGGCTGGAAGCTTGATCTGGGGTCTTATGATAATCATATAGCCCTGAAAAGGCTAAATCTGGTCATTTCCAGTTGTGACATTCCCTTAAATGCCTATATGCAGGTATGTCAGTGAACTGTTCTCCAAAAGCATAGTTCAGTTCTGTTTGTCCTACGTATGCCTGCGTGCTGTTTAATGTTGTTTTTGGGCCAGGATATTAATGTAATAACTAAAATTAGCGGTTGGTGGGAGGGGGGGGAAGGTGCCTTATGATCGCAAAGGCTTTTTGAAAGCCGAGTTGATCTGAAATGTTCCCATAAGCCCCAGGGGTTCAACACATGAGTCACCCAGTACCTTTTTTGTTTAATGTGTTCTGTTTGATATTTCACTCGGTTCATGTTTATTAATTACCCCTTAATATTTCTTTATAAATTTTTAACAAAATGTAAACCTGTAGATCAAGAAATGTTTTTAAATTCCTGAATGACCTGTGTAATATCTGGTTTTTCCCCTTCATATTTTGGTGCAAAGAGGGTTAAAATGATTTTTGCCACAGTGTTCCTACAAGTTTATGGCTCATTTTTTTAATGGCATCCACGGAGTGAACGGGTTTCAATCCAAACTGAAGCTGATTTTTATAATCTACCCGGGCTGTCGTGTTGACCCAGCGTAAAATTTGTTACAGGAATTGTCATCAGAAGTCAAGGCCTCTAGCAAGACGTTAACCACATTACATCTCAAGTTCTGGTCCGTCTCTGTAAATGTTGGTTTAGAACCTCAAGGTTTGGAATCTCGTTTAGAACCTAAGGTTTAAACCCTCAAGGTTTGGAATCTCGTTTAGAACCTAAGGTTTAAACCCTCAAGGTTTGGAATCTCATTTAGAACCTTAAGGTTTAAACCCTCAAGGTTTGGAATCTCGTTTAGAACCTAAGGTTTAAACCCTCAAGGCTTGGAACCAAATACACCATATATTAACCATATATTAATTAAATTTGTATTTTTTTTTAAATTGTTTATTGGAGTGTACGCTTACGCAATGCAGCCGCGCTGTGAGCTGGATCCTCACACCTTCTTCTTTTCTTTACTCCTGGAATGCCATATGGTATCAGAGCAGGAAGAGATCTCTGGAACAGGTCCTTCTGTTCACTTCGTATAAAATACTTTTCAGTGTCTCTGATATTTCTGCGGTCTCTTTTCTGCCTGGTTGACCTCCGGATCTGGTGCCCCTGTCTGATGCCCATCTTGTAACATAACATGGCCAAACCATTTGATTTGTTATCTACACCACCTGTAGGAGATCATGTTTTGGCTAGCAAGATTTCAGCTAACACATATGATCCTGGAATGAATTATCTTTATTAGCTGAGGTGTCACTGTATACACATAACAGCTTTATGAAGTATAGCATTTGTATTAACTTAGCTTTCATTCATTTTCTTTTTGTTTCCTCTAGGATCAATGGGGTTTGGATTTCCGCCGTGACAAAGAAATAACGTGGAACTATACCAACCAGTATTCAACTGAGATATTCAAAAATGAGGCTGTGAGGATAATCAACGAGCATAATAAATCAGAGGTTGTGTTACTTTAATTATTTTCCTACCTAATTTTAAACGATGTTTTCCGTGTAGTTCCACAATTCCATTTTTTTTTTTTTAGAATAAAGAATATAGCCACAGCCCCCACCCCTCGACACGCCTGTTGTAGGAGGCGACTAATGAACTGTTTTTCCTTCAAAGTCAGAGCTCATCTGTCTGAGAGCCAAGGAACCAAAAGTTTACTACAAATAAACCAGGTGTGCTAAACCCAAGTTCCGGATCAACACCAAGATCCAAGAGTAAACGGACAACCATAGCTTTCTGCCGTAGTTTACTGCTAGTGAGCGCTAAGAGAAATGATGTCTGAGAGGCTGAAAGATGAAAGTTCATTCCTTCTGAACTGAACTTTTAAAATGTCTAATATTCAGTAAATGATTCATTCCTTGAGTGGCTAGTATTTTAGACTTCATCTCTGGTTTGTGGGAATAGATTTAATGTTGAATTAAGAATTGACATCACATAACTCAGGTTTTACTGTAAGTGCTGTGTCCCCGTCTTATATCTGGAGCTGCGGAGAATTGATTTAACCAAGGAGAAGGTTTAACTTTAAAAGATTCAGTAGGTAAGTACATGATTTACTCTGTAAGTGTATCTGTCTCATATCTTGAGCTGGGGAGAATAGGTTTAACCAAGGAGAAGGTTTAACTTGAAAAGATTCAGTAGGTAAGTACATGATTTACTCTGTAAGTGTATCTGTCTCATATCTTGAGCTGGGGAGAATAGGTTTAACCAAGGAGAAGGTTTAACTTTAAAAGATTCAGTAGGTAAGTACATGACTCACTCCATGAGTGGGTGGTGTGTCACATATCTTGAGCTGGGGAGAATAGGTTTAACCAAGGAGAAGGTTTAACTTTAAAAGATTCAGTAGGTATGTACATGACTCACTCTATGAGTGGGTGGTGTGTCACATATCTTGAGCTGGGGAGAATAGGTTTAACCAAGGAGAAGGTTTAACTTGAAAAGATTCAGTAGGTAAGTACATGATTTACTCTGTAAGTGTATCTGTCTCATATCTTGAGCTGGGGAGAATAGGTTTAACCAAGGAGAAGGTTTAACTTTAAAAGATTCAGTAGGTAAGTACATGACTCACTCCATGAGTGGGTGGTGTGTCACATATCTTGAGCTGGGGAGAATAGGTTTAACCAAGGAGAAGGTTTAACTTGAAAAGATTCAGTAGGTAAGTACATGACTCACTCCATGAGTGGGTGGTGTGTCACATATCTTGAGCTGGGGAGAATAGGAGGTTCAAGCTGCAGCTAGCCTTCGGTGTGGAGATGGTGCTTTATTGAGTGAAGATTCTTTCAGTGATTGTTCTGATTTTTCTTCGGGTTCATGGTCTGAAGCAATCGTAGAAGATCATTAGTCTCCATTACCCAGCTCTTATTCTGGTTCACTGGCTGTAATCTCCAGCAGAAAGCTCTGGGTGTTTGTCCACTTCTGGTCTTCAGCCCTGCTCCAGAACAAGAGTATTGCTTGCACATCTGTTTTACAGATATGGCTTTTTTGTATGCAGACTGTTGGTTCCTTGCCTCTCGGGCAGATGAACTCTGACTTAGAAAGAACCTCCCAATTAGTTGACTCTTATGTCATGCCTTTGGGTCAGCAGTGGGTCTATTCTTGTTTTCCCCACAATGGGGCCCCGGAACCCACACAGGGACATTATTCAGTTCTGGCGCACGTGATCTTCCATGCCATGATAAACTGTCCAGCATCTTTTCTCTTGGTCTCCGTCTGCCTCTTTTTTCCCTCCATCTCTCCTGCCATCACAGAGTACTGTAGTTTTCTCCTTCTCGTGACATGTCCAAAACAAATGAAGATTGTCTCCTTCTGATGTGGGCAATCATTGCTCTTCCTGAGTCAAGTTTCTTTCAAGACGTCTTCATTACTCTTTTTTTTTGTCCAGAGTATTGTCATCATTCGTCTACAAAACCAAATCTCCGCATCTAGTCTTGCAGACTAGCTGGCAGCAAAGTCAAATACGAAAACAAATATAGATAGCTTTTTATTTATTTATTAGGGAGGGCTGTGTAGATTTGAGGCATGGTGTCCGCCTCGAGTGCTATAGGTTCAGGCTTCAATCCCCCGTATGGGCTGGGATTTTTTTATGTTGACTTGGACTTCAAAATCTGCCCAAAGTATTTCAATCCTCGCCGCTGCTACAGAGCCTGTGTACTGTGCTGAGCTTCTTCGGACTCACACATGAGTTAAAAGAAGAACGGTGCACTTATGGGTTACTACCCGTGTGTCATGATGTTGATCCGTTGTTCAAACTTCAAACTTATTTATTAATTTGATCCTGTGTTACAAAATTGTGTCAGCTGCTTATGCTAAGAAGTAAAATCTGAAATACATCGACCAGCAGTGTATCTGAAAGCCACCATATGGTTAAGCAGAAATGTTGACGAATCTATAGGAAATTTCTGTTGAGCGGCACCTGTTCATGAACCTCAGGTTGAAAGACATGGCTTCAGAAGGTAAATTGTGCTGTTTCTGTTGCAGCCCCTGTTCCTGTATCTACCATTCCAGTCGGTGCATAGTGGCAATGGTGACGGTATCAACCTGCAGGCACCACAGAGTTACATCGACAGGTTTTCCTACATTGAGAACCGGAAAAGACGAACTTATGCAGGTGCTTATGTCATATTTATTTCACTTGAAAATTTGTATAGTGTGTCTACGCTTGCATGTCTTCTTCTTTAGGTTGGAATCAGTTTCATATTTGTTCCGGGGCACTCTGGTGTAAAGGGCTATGAATGTGCTGACAGACTTGCGATTGATGCTCATGAAGGAAATGGACGAGCAAAGGACAGGACTGATATACTGAATGCCCTCAGAGAGTTGGTTCAATTAAACGAATGAAGTAATGTTTGTGAATCTGCAACACTGACTAGACTACATGAACATAACATCAAGAGGGGTGAAGCTAGACAAGAGCTCCCCAGAAGGACCAAAAGAAGAATAGTAAACCATCATAGAACTGGGGTCATAAGCCACTACACGCTGAGAGACACACTGAAGAGGGGATCCGAGCACTTATGGACTGAATAGTTTGATGTGCGATGATGATAATATGTCGACTAATTAACTATTTTAGGTTGGAAAACTTTTATTTTAAAAATATTTTTCATTACTACAGTGTTTTCACTTTTCAACACTTCATGTTCTATGTAATTCATCATCTCATAGTGCATGTTCTTGCTAATTCACCATTCAAGCTGTTTGTTTTCACTAGTTCTACACTTTTTGCTGTATGTTTTCCTTAATTCAACACTTTATTTGCTGTATGTTTTCCTTAATGCAACACTTTATTCACTATGTTTTCCTTAATTCAACATTTTTAGCTGTATGTTCTCACTAATACACCTTTTCATGTTGTTTTTTCATCTTCAGTTCTCGTTACGCCTAGTGGCACATGAGGCTTCAGAGAGGACTTTCCGTGCTTTCCTGTCCTGTGCAATCTTCAGTGCAGTTTTCCATGTCAAAGATACCGCACTCAGGTCACTTTCCATCGTTCGTCTCCATGTTGTTTTTGGGCGCCCTTGTTTTCTCCTTCCCTCTGGTGTTCATGTGAGAGCTGTTTTTGCGGGTATATTAGGATTCATTCATAACGTGGCCAAGCCATTTCCATCTTCTCTTGGTTATCATACTGTCTAAAGTTTCTTGGTTTGTGACTTGAAGTAGTTTAGTGTTTAAGATTGTATCTGGCTAGAAAATTTTGATAATTCTACGTAGACACGTGTGGTGGAAGGTGGACAGCTTGTATGCATCCTTTTTTGGTCATTCTCCAGCATTCCGCTCCATAAAGAAGAACTGGCAAAATTATGCTCTTGTAGAGTCGGAGTTTCGTTTCTGTGCAGTAATTGTTGGATTTCCAGATTTGCCTCATTCTTCCAAAAGCAGTTTTAGATTTGTTCAGACGTGACTGTATGTCCTCTTCGGTCCCTCCCGGCAGGGACTCCACACTGCCAAGATATGTAAAATGTTCTACATTTTAAAGAGTTTGGTTATTTATGGTCACCGGTTGTTGTGATCTTAGTTTTCTTCATGTTGTTAGTTTTCACTAATTTAATTTCTTTCTTTGTTCACCGGCTATAAGCTCCAGCAGAAAACCTGGTCGTTCGTCCATTTGGACTTTGGCTTTGTGCCAGGGCCTGATTTTTGTGTGTACATCCGTTTTACTGGCCTATTTGTGTGCAGTTGGTTGTTCCTTCGAAGGAAGTCTCCAGTTAGTCGACTCATATGACATGCAGGGAAGGCAGTGGGTCTGTTCTTGTTTTCCCTCACAATGAGGCCCTGGCACCCACACAGGGAACTAATTTAATATGAAATTCAACATCTCCTGCATGCCTTACAGCGATGCACTCTTCCCTAGCTGTTACCATTTATCTGCCACTTGTTGTTATAAGTTTTCATTAAAATTTCTGCTCAAGTTTTCACTAACTGAACATGTTCTAATGTGTGATCGACACCTTTTTCGTGCCCCACAGCCATGCTGTCTGCCCTAGATGATGCTGTCGGCGTGGTCTATGACACTCTGGTCAACAACAGCATGTTGAATAACTCCATCATCGTGTTCACCACCGACAACGGCGGCCCGGCCAATGGGTTTGATTTTAATGCTGCAAACAATTATCCCCTTCGGTGAGTGTGCTTTTTTTTGTTTGTTAGTCTGTTAAAGAGCCACAGATGAGATGGTTTGATCATCTGGCGAGAAAATCCTGATATCACTTGCCACAGAGAGCCAGTAGCCTCTATATTTTTTCTTTATAATTTTTGTTAGTCTGTTAAAGAGCAACAGATGAGATGGTTTGTTCTTCTTCATCACGTTCACCAGCTGTAAACTCTGGTGGAAGGTTCTGGTTGTTCATTCACTTCTGGACTGCAGTCCTCTTCCAGGACATGAGTTTTGCGTGTGCATCCATTTTACAGATCTGATTTATATGCAGACTGCTGGTTCTTTGCCTCTCAGGCAGATGCACTTCGAAGGAAGCTCATCCCACTCTTACGACATGCTTCTGAGTAGGTTTGTGAGTCTATTCTTGTTTTCCCTATAATAGGGCCCCGGAACCCACACGGGGAGAGATGGTTTGATTATCTGGCGAGAATATCTTGGTATCAACTGCCACAGAGAGCCACACTGAAGAAATATAATGGATTCACGGGAATTTGTTTGGTTCTGTCCAGTTAGAAATTCTTTAATGTTATTTAATTTGTCTATTCTGCACAGGCACCAGTTAATGAATGTTTGTAGTTTATTTGTCATTGTTTTACTCCTTTTTCTATCCCTATATTAGTTCCTGGGCCATATTTTGGGGTAAAAAGAATAGGCTCACCGCCCCTTAGCAAGCATATTGGAAATGACAAATAATAGGGGTGTTTTCTTTAAGGTCAGAGTTCACCTGCCTGAGAGGCAAAGAAAGTCATCTTTAAAATGGATGTGCACACAAAACCCAGGTTCTGAAATAAGGCCAAAATCCAGAAGTTAATGAACAACCAGGATTTTCCACCAAAGTTGAATTTTGAAGTTTGAACAACGGATCAACATTATGGCACACGGGTAGTAACCCATAAGTGCTCCGTTCTTCTTCTGACTTAAGTCTGAGTCTGAAGAAGCTCAGCACAGTGCACAATCTCTGTAGCACCGGTGAGGAACCTGAAATACTTTAGGTCGATTTAACTCCAAATTTTTCCAGGCCAGCGCCGTTAGACTAATTTTTTTGATTTCATCCTGCCAGGAGATTTTTTACATACTCATCAATGCATACTGGCATCCGATCTCACTACCCAGTGATCAGAGGGAATTACTAGAAGTCAAAGTCCACCTGAAAAAAATCCCAGCCCTTACCAGGGATTGAACCTGACAGCTCTAGCACTCAAGGCGGACGCCATGCATCGAGACCCCCTCACCAAAGTTTACAGCCAGTGAAGGGGAAGAATAAAACTTATTCTCTGTAGTTCAGCTGAGTAATCAACATTCATAGGAATTTGTGGCTTAGGCGTTGCAAACGTGCCCTGTAAATTCTTCTTCTTCTTCTTTCGTTCGCATGAAATAAATTGTCTATATCTGCAAAGCTGTCTCTAGTATGAATTTCACTGTCTTTTGTAATTCACTAAGCGGCCCGTAAAGTTTGACTTCCACAAGTGTCTCTTTTGGCCAAAGGTTTTGCCTGAAAGCGTTGAATCTGGGACAGTCTTGAAGGATGTGATCTGTTGTTTCAGGTGCCAGTCCACAAGTACACATGGCTGATTGGCCAATCTTAAATTTGTTGTACATGTGGGAGCGAAGTCGATTGTGCCCTGTTCTAAGGCGAAGGATAATGACTTGCTCTGGTCTGTCCATAATATGGTAATCATCTTGTGCCAGTTTCGGTGGCATTCTGATTGATTTGATCATTCTCTTCTTCTGTTGATAAGAGACTGGTATGTCAGGTTGTTCTTCAGTTGCACCTTCCTTAGCTAGTTTATCAGCTTTTTTCGTTTCCGGGAACTCCACAGTGGGAAGGTATCCACTGCATTACTAATTTACAGCGGTTGCCTAGTTCGGATAATAGTGTCTGTATGCTTGGTAATTTGCCAGACTGGAGTGACTGAAGTACTGCTTTTGCATCTGTCAGGAATACCACTGGTTGTGAAAAATACCCTATATTTAGTAGTTTCTCTACCGCTATCTTGATGGCTTGAACTTCTGCATCATAGTTGTGACAGTGCTTTCCCGTTGGTAATTTGGCTGTATCCCTGGTATTATTAGGATACTCAATGTACACTCCTGCACCTCCGTTTCTGACTGCGCTTTCTGCTGACCCATCTGTGTAAACACGGACCCAAAGGTTCTTCGGGTATTCATCATCAAGTAGACTTAGGGTGGCTGTTTTGCGCTGCACACTGTTTTGTTCTTCCTTGTCAAATACCCCTTTCACTTCAGTCTTGATGTGTATTGGAAACTTGTACTCCTCTCTCCAGGGGGTCCGTTCTGGGACAGCATTTAAGGATCTATCAGTTGCAGGTAAATCAGTGGTTTGTCTGCCGAGCCGTTTGGCCTGGTGGATAAAGCTACTTCTCTTTAGTCGTCCCAAAGCTAAATTTTTGAATCTTTCATTCATAGGGTGACTGGGCATACTAAGGAACCCTGTAAATTGAGGCTTTAGGTTTGATCCCTACTGTGGTTGTTTTTGCAGCAGGCTGCCTTGCGTTGGTTTTCAACGGTCGTATCGAGAGTTGATGGTTCAATAAGTAGTGACAAACATATTCTCAAAGTCCATGCCATGTGGCGTTGGTAGTCATGTCTATCCACAACTTTCTGTTTCGTGTACTTTCTGTCAACTCTGACACAGATGATCCTCCATGCCATGATATCAAACTGTCCAGCATCTGTTCTCTCAGTCTCCCTCTGCCTCTCCTCCCCTCTAACTTTTCTACTGTCACGCTGTTCTCCAGTTTTTCTCCTTCTCCTTTCTCATCATCAGTGGCAAACAACTGAAGGTAAAATTTCCTGGTGCAATCACCAACAGCCAGAGTCTGGGGTTGGTTCTGCAGTGCCCAGTAAAGGACACACAACTAACTTTGAAAAAAATTAATATAACATTATTATTCTTTTCTGCTTCAGAGGAGTTAAAGCAACAATTTGGGAAGGTGGAGTACGGGGTGTCGGCCTCATCCACAGCCCACTTTTGTCGAAACAAGGCTACGTGTCTGAACAGATGTTCCATGTCACCGACTGGCTGCCAACTCTGTACACAGCTGCAGGCGGAAATGCATCTTCTCTGGCAAATCTGGATGGATTCAATTCTTGGGATATGCTGAATTCTAATGGCAGTGCAGTTCGTACGGAGATGCTTCATAACATTGATCCAATAGCTAATGAATCAGCGATTAGAGTCGGAGACTACAAGCTCATCGTTGGTAATTTACAGTACCCTGGCTGGGCAGGGTGGTTTCCGCCGTATCAGCTGAGCGGAGATGAACATCTTTTACACTACCTAAACTTCACTGATCAGCTTTATGAACCTAAAGGTAGAATTGCTAAAAGACAACTTCTCCAAGAACAGTACCGCAGCTATTGGCCACCAGAAGTTGTCGCTCGCACTGAAGAGCTTTATTCATTTTCTGAACAAAGTGGATTATACACTAACAGATATTCTAGTAAAGAAAATGAGAGAAAAGTAAAAAATAATCATCTATCATCATTTAAATCTGAGAGAATTTTGACATTTGAGACAGAGAAAAATATGCAGTCTAAGAGTGGCAGAATCAGTGAAAGCCCAGTGATTGTTCAGTGTGGTCCGAAACCAGCTAATGCCAGTACAAATTGTAACAGTACTGTGTCCCCATGTTTGTATCACATTCCCAGTGACCCTTGCGAATACAACAACATAGCTCAACAGAATCCAGATGTGGTAAGTTCTCAGCTAGTTTTTACTGTGTGTAGAGGCTAGTTTTGATATTTCTGTAGCAGTTTTAAAATGTGTTTAACAGTTGTGGTTTTCACTTTTTGTTTCTTCTTGTTTTTATTCTTCTTGTTCTTATTCATCTTCTTCTTCCTCCTTCTCCTCCTCCTCTCCTTCTTCTTCTTCTTTTTATTCTTCTTCTCCTTCTTCTTCATCTTCTTCTTCTTCTTCTTCTTCTTCTTTTTCTTCTTATTCTTCTCCTCCTCCTCCCACTCTACCTTCCTCCCCCTCCCCTCCTCCTCCTTCTTCTTCTTCTTTTTCTTCTTTTTTTTCTTCTTCTTCTTTTTCAACCTCTTCTTCTTTTTTTATTTTTTTTTCTTCTTCTTCTTTTTCTTCTTCTTCTTCTTCTTCTTCTTCTTCTTCTTCTTCTTCTTCTTCTTCTTCTTCTTCTTCTACTACTTCTTCTTCTTCTTCTTCTTCTTCTTCTTCTTCTTCTTCTTCTTCTTCTTCTTCTTCTCCTTCCTTTTTTCTTTTTCTTCTTCTTCTTTTTCTTCTTCTTCTTCTTCTTCTTCTTCTTTGTCTTCTTCCTCATCCTCTTCTTTTTTTCTTCTTCTTCTTTTTCTTCTTCTCCTTCCTCCTCCTCCTTCTCCTCTTCTTCTTCTTTTTTCTTTTTCTTCTGTTTCTTCGATTTTTTTCTGCCTTCTCCTCCTCTTTTTGTCCTTCTTCTTCTGTTTCTTCAATTTCTCCTCCTCCTTCTCCTGTCTTTTTAGGTAAAATGAGACTGCTACGTGTGCCATTAGAAATGGAACTTTCAATTGGCAGCTGAAGATTGGGACAGATTGTTTAGGAGAATGTCCTGAGTGGTATTATGTAGTTTGTTAACCCAGCTCAGCTGAATATATTTATGTCTTTTCCTTCACCATCCACCTTCTTAGTTGTCTGAAAGAAAGAAAAAAGTGTATTTGTCCGGTCATTCTTACTGTGTTCTCCTTTTATTTTTATTCTTTCTCTCCCTTCTCTTAGTCTTCTTCTTCACTTCATCTCTCTCCTCCTTGTCACTCTTCTTAAAAGTTTGAAAAGAAAGTTTGTTCTGTTTTTCATATTCATCTGTATCCTTTGCTTTTTTCTTCTTCTCCTTTCTCATGTTATTTTTCTGCCCCTCTTCCTTTCTCTTTGTGTTCTTCAGTTTTCCATCCTCTTTCTGTATCCTAATCTTTTTCTTCTTTTATCCTTTCTTATCCTCCTCCTTTTGCTGCTATTTTATTGTTTGAGATTTCACCATCTGCTGCTCTTCACTGGACATCCAGCTTGTTGTTCTAGGGTCTACTTTCCTCAAAGATTCTTTCAGCCAGAACTAGAACCAAGCCACTTGGTAAGAGAAAACAAACCTGAAGAATGTGCTGAGTTTAGGGACCTATTCTAACGAATAATTATAGCTGAAAACAACAATTTAACAATTTTTAGGCTTCTGTCAAGTTCTAGTGGACCAAGAGGTCAGGAAAATATGCTGGCGTTAGATAGGACACATGTTGAGAAAACCTGGGAACAGAATAACTATAATGTTTTTGCACTGGAACCCACAGGGGCATAGAAATAAAGGAAGACCAAAAAACACCTGGAGAAGGGAGCTAGAGAGTGAAGCTAAAAAGATGGGAAGGACATGGGGAGAGTTGCATGTGACAGCAAAGGATCGAACGACTTGATGTGAGCTGGCTGAGGGCCTATGCTCCATTGGGGGTTGGAAAGGCAGAAGAAGAAGGAGTCAGGACACTGAGGTCTTAGAGCACAACTGCACAGGATAGGCATAATAGAATCTGCTGCCTGTAAATGCAGAGCAGTTAGACAGATTGCAGAGCAGGCTGTCCCTTACTACTCCTTGCAGAGGTCAGGGTTCCAGCCCATTGGAGTTACATAACAAGACAAGCAGGAAGGACTGGCAGTGACTTCAGATACACGATCATCCTATTTATGATCTAGCAGGGGCTGACTGTTTAGCATGGCTGTTGTTGAACACAGAAGAAAAATTAATTACAAAGTAATTCTTCTTCTTCTTCGCGTTCACCAGCTGTAAACTCTGGCAGAAGGTTCTGGTTGCTCGTCCACTACTGAACTGCAGTCTTGCTCCAGAAGCTGAGTGTTGCGTGTGCATCAGTTTTACAGATCTCATTCTCTTAAATACAGACTGTTGGTTCCTTGCCTCTCCGGCAGATGCACTCCAACTTCAAAGGAAGCTCCCCAATTAGTCGACTCTTACGACATGCTTTTGGGGAGGCAGTGAGTCTATTCTTGTTTTCCCCACAATGGGGCCCCGGAACCCACACGGGGGGACAAAGTAATTGTTTATGGCATAAGCTAACAAATGAAGTATAAATTACTTCATAATACTCAAAACAGCAACCAGAAAGACAAACACAGGCCTCAGTCAAAGCTTTAAATTAATTCATTTCTTTCATTAAGTTTTGTTTGAAATGTGCACTTCACAATAATGTATAACTGCATATTAAACTGTGGGTTTTCCCAAATTTTAAAGTTTAAAATTGGATGTCCCATTGTACATAGATTATGTTTAAAATATTGATTTCTAAACTTTGTGCTAAAAAAAAATGTCGGGTCGTCCTTTATATTAGGGCATGTTATACATGTAAAATTACAGTGCTGTTACCCCTGTGATGTATCATTATATGTTGTTATTATTACAATTACAAATCTGTTTCCAGGTTACACGAATATTAAGTCGCCTCCAGTATTATACCAGCACGATGGTTCCACCAGGTAATCAACCGTTTGACGACAGAGGCAACCCTAAGTATCATCAAGGGGCTTGGATGCCTTGGTTATAGAAATGGGTATCTGGTTTGGTGGGACATTTGATAAGGATTGGTACTCCAGTAGGAGAGCATCAGAGTCATATCTTTGTATGGATTTTAACCCTTTGGCCCTGAGAATAAAAAATATTTTAAAAAACCAACACTTCCTGTGTGGTCCTGTTCCCCATAAATGTAACTTTTTTGACTTGCCTATAGTGACCTGTTTATGAGATGTGTGGTTAATGCTTTTCAGCCAAATTCATGCATGTACAACCATTTAGGAGGTCAGAATGAGAATACATCAACTAGCATTTAGATGAGTTTTCATTTCAGCTAAATGGCTTTTTGTTGTTGTTGTTCAAAGCCAAGTTGACCTAAGCCTCAGTGCTAGAGGTCATGGGATCATAGCATGAGTCACCTGATACATGTTTGTTTTGATTAGGCCTTGGGGAATTTATTCCATTTAATGTTTCATTCTGTTAGTGTTTATTATTATTTGTTTCATGCATCTTTATATATTTCACATTTTATTTCAACAAATGAAGATAAATACATATCTTAAAAATGTATTAGTGACCTATGTAAAAATTATTGTTTTACAGTGTTGTTTCTAGTATTCTGGCCGGGTCAGGACTTGTTTTTATAGTGTTCCCAGGTTAAAAGGGTTGAATTGCATGTTTCAGAAGTGCCTTCTTCATATTTTGTGATATGACTTGTCATGTGCCTGAGAAGTTATCGGTGTCATGTGACAAACTTTCATGTCTGTTTTTTTTCTAAACCACTGTGACATTTTTATATGTTTATAATTTAGGGTTCCTTATTAATATTCTACCCCCAGATGGCGTCACAGGACAGTCTAACATTTTAGAGTGTGGTAAGACTGGGTTTATCAGCTTTCTGATGCTTTTAACAACCCCACAACATCTAGAACTGGCCCTAACCCTAGCCCACCTGCATCCCACAATTGCATACAGCCTAGGTCCCACGACTGCATGCAGCCTATCTACCATCCCCTGAATTATTAGACTGTCCCGTGACCTGTGGTTTTTCCCTGTTTGGGGTAGGATATTAATAAAGCAACTTATTCAGATTTTTCACTGTTCAGATTGTCTAGTTTTGTTTCCCCCCTGTAGATGCTTGGTGAGCTTAGTGTCTGTAACATTTAAATAAGAAGCCCAGATTTTTTTCTTCCGTGGTTATGAAATTGTACATGGCTGAGATCCTTATGTTACCACAGAAAAGATGTATGTTCACAAAATGTTTAGTTTTTCTCTTTTTCTTCCTCATTGTCCTCCTCCTCTTCTCTTCTTCTCCTCCTTCTCTTCTTCTTCTTCATCTTCTTTATTTTCTTCTTTTTATCTTCTTCTTTTCCTCCTCTGCTTCTTCTTACCTTCTACTTTTTCCTTTTCTTTTCTCCTCCCTCTCCTATCCCTCATCCTTCTTCTTTGTAACTTTTTTTTTGCTTTTTAGATGCCCTAGGTTATTAACACATAGGATACAACCATAGTGCCATAAGAACAACCTACCTATTATAGGCTCAGAAATGTCCATATTTCTCCATGACAACCAGCAGCATGACGATGGAGGTGATGGCAGTGACGCAAGCGTTTGCCTGGCTTGAAACACAAAAATACACCCGCATATGTGTACTCAGTGATTCAATGAGTATGATCCGGAGGGTTCAGGCAGGTTCAGTGCGAAGACAATGGCTTGAATCATTACAGAAGTCCACTGTGCGTGGAGTCACCTTTATTTTTGTTCCGGGACACGCAGGCGTCGATGGAAATGAAAGAGCTGACAGGTTGGCTGGATCCGCTATCACTACCGACGGTCGGCCTATGGATCATGCTGATATTATCAATGCCCTCAGAGAAATGGGAAGGATAGAGGACTTTGGTGGCAGTGAATCCACATCACTCGCCAGAATGGCAGACTTGGGAATTAAGATCGGCACAGCAAAAAACGAGACGCACACCGGACACGTCAGAAGACTTGTTAATCAACATAGAACTGGTACTATTAGCCATCGGACGTTGGGGTTCATACTGAGGGGAGGATCTGAGCACCTATGGACATGTCCGGAGTGCAACGACGATAACCCAACTAACTAACTAATTAACTAACTAACTAAATGTCCATATGTCAAGTTGCACTTTGAAAAATTTATTTATATTCCCATGACTAAATTTTTTTTCCTAATACCATTGATCCAGTCTTTTTTTTTAGCAGTATGTTATTTTTATCAAGTAAATATGACATTTTGTTTAAAGGGATTAAGGAGGCAAGGATGCCCAAAAGAAACCCTAAGATAAATGTTAATGAGAGAGGCCCAAGCTGCTGGAGTGGAGTGGATTCCATCCGTGATATCGAACTGATTCCACAGGGTAGAACAGAGTAGAGGACTAGACTACCAGCCCTGTGTGACACATATTAGCACAACAGGATAATGAATGAAAGAATTACATATTTTTAAGTGTATAATTTATCATTTAGAAAATGATAGCTGCAAATTTTACTGACAATTTCAACTGCCTTAACATATTTTGCTGTATCCCATCAGATGCTTTACTACAAGCAAGGCACAGCAAAATATGTAGGCAATAAACTGTGCACTAACCCCCCCCCCCCCCCCCCCCCCACCCCACCCCACCCCATATAAATTCTAACCATTCTGTCCTAAATCTTCAGGCTCTAAGTGGTAAGAAACGGAGGCAGGAATGGTAGTTTTTGGGCAGTTTTGTATTGTTGATAAATAAAAGAGTTAGTTATTGGCTGTACCATTGTAAGATTGGGTGTGTATGTTATTTCTATGGCTGTGTTTATGTACACGAATAATATGTGATCAGTATATTGGTTTATGATAAATACTGTGTTCCTTGTGTTTATTTTTTACACTGCGGCCTGAATATTTATTTTAACAGAATCTCTCTTTCTCTCTCTCCCTCCCTCCCTCCCTCCCTCTCTCTCTCTCTCTCTTTTTTTCTCTCTCTCTCTTTCTCTCTTTTTCTCTCTCTCTCTCTCTCTCTCTTTCTCTCTTTTTTTCTCTCTCTCTCTCTCTCTCTCTCTCTCTCTCTCTCTCTCTCTCTCTCTCTCTCTCTCTCTCTCTCTCTCTCTCTCACGTGATAAAATATACAGATATATACAAACACACATATATACAAACATAACAGTACATACACACCCTCACTCACTCACACATGCATACAAACATTTTTCATCTTTCCAGATAATAATATTTAAATTATATGAATGAATCAGTCAATCAAGAATTCAATCAATTGAGACTTCAATCAATCAAGAATTCAATAGTCAAGAATTCAATCAATCAAGAATTCAATCAGTCAAGAATCGATGACGTCGCAGCCGGGGCATTGCCTTATATGCTCTATCCTCTTCCTCAGGAGACAAGAGAAGTCAGCTGCAGGCTCATTCATAGCCATTCCTCTGTCTCTACACCTCTGTTTTTGTTGGCCAAAGTTGCTGTGTGGGTTTTTGGGTCCCACTGGGGAGGGTGAGTGGGGGGGGGGGGGGGGGTGGAGATAGACCCACTGCTTCCTAACAAGCAAGTCGTAAAAGTAGAGTAATGAGGGATGCTATAAAGTTGGAGTACATCTGCCTGGGTGGCGAGGAACCAACAATCTGCATACAAATAAGCCAGATCTGTCATATAGATGTGCACACAAAACAAATTCTGGAACAAGACTAAAGTCCAGAAGTGGACGAACAACCAGAACTTTCTGCCAGAGTTTGCAGCTGGTAAGCATGAAGAAGTTATCAACAGAAGCAATTGTCAAGCTCAGTACAAATTCTCCAGTGCTCAAACAATAATTAATCAAAGTTGTGTTATATGGAGGTTTAGTCTCTATGGCGACAGGGGGAGAATAGCAAGACCAGTCAATGTTAAGTCCCAATAATATTAACAGCAATTCTGGAAAAGCTAAAAGGAAGGCATTATCTTCAACCTACTTCCTTTCACCAATGTCAGCTTCCAGAACTGACACCAAAGATGTTAGAACCATGTTTTTTTTATAAATATCCAGAAACCATGAGTTGTTAACCCTTTGGCTTTGTACTATGGGTAACGCAACCTTTCCGCTTGATTCCATGATAGATACCCTAAATCTTTGAGATATGTGGCTTTTCTGCCTACCCCCGGGCTGGAATACAAGGAGTTCATCACCTAGTCATCGCACAGTCAGGTTTAACGAACTGATCTAGTGCACCTGGCAGAACCATGTATAAACTAGGACAGATCAACCGATATTAGGAGAAATGAAATAAATCTTTGCTGAAAGTGACATCGCAGAAATGAAGACCAAAAAAATGGATCAAAAATTAGAAACAAATTAATATTATGAGGATGATCTGCAAAAGATAAGCTTGGCTTGGGTGACAGCCAATGTCCTAATGGGGAATAAAGGGAAGAAGAGAATTCAAAAACCGGTGTGATCATTTTTTTCTGATAGTCCGGTGCTGCATAGTCTGGAGGAAGGTGTCCGCCTCAAGTGATAGAGGTTCCGGCTTCAATCACCGGTAAGGGCTGGGATTTTTTTCCACGTGGACTTGAACTTCTAGAAATTTCCCCCCGCCTCTGGGTAGTGAGATCGGACGCCCGTGTTGTTGCGCATGTAAAAAATCCCTTGGAAATTGAAAAGAGTAGCCTAACGGCGCTGCCTGGGCAAAATTTGGAGTTTAAAATCTACCCAAAGTATTTCAGGATCCTCGCCGGTGCTACACAGCCTGTGCACTGTGCTGAGCTTCTTCGGACTCAAAATTGAGTTAGATGAAGAACGAAGCACTAATGGGTGTGTGCCATGATGTTGATCCATTGTTCAAACTTTAAAATTCTGATAGTTCATGCCTACTTTGATAGTCATGAATATCCACAACCTTTTGTTCCATGTATTATCAATCAGTTCTGACAATGATGATATTCCATACCTTGTGGTGTTACTCCTGACACTAATGATCTTCCATGCTATGATGCCAGACTGTCTTATCATCTTCTCTCTCTTGTATATCTCATGCTATTGCAAATGCCTTAGGGATTCCCTAACAATCTTTCACAGGAAGTAATTAAAAAAGAGATAAATGACACACTTTATTGTCATAATTGTTTCAAATGTACACTTAAAGTATATTGTTGTTATTGTTTGTTTGTTTGATTGTTTGTTTGTGTTCACCGATTGTAAAGCCCAGCGGAAAGACCTGATTGTTCGTCCATTCCTGCACTTTGGCTTTGTTCCAGGACCTAAGTTTTGCATGTTCATCCGTTTTACAGATCTTTGCTTATTTATATGCAGACTGATGGTTTCTACCCTTTCGGGCAGATGCACTATGACTGAAGAAAGCCCCCAATTAGTTGACTGTTAGGACATGCTTGTTGGGGAGACAGTCCCAATTAGTTGACTGTTAGGACATGCTTGTTGGGGAGACAGTGAGTCTATTCTTATTTTCCCCACAGAGAGACACGGGAAGAATAAAATATACTTTACAATGTATAGTCTTACGATCAGTTGCAAATAATACATCAGCAATGCAATATTAAATAGCAAAAAGTAATTGATGAATTTCCTTCCATTACTGTATTCCTGAACTAGAGAGAAAAAAAGTTGTATATCCCAATTAATATTAAAGAAATAAAAGTAATTGATGAGCATAAATATTTTAAGATGAGATTGATAACACCAATTCGCACCAAAACTAAGAAACCAACATGTAACTGTAAAAGCCAAAAGAGCACTCTATGACACAATCTTCTTGCCAACCCTGTGTTATCAATGCCAGACGTGGACAATGACAGAAAAAGATGAAGAAAAATTACAACTAAAATGAGATATCCGTAATGGGCTATCAATATAAGATGAGATAAGATCAGAAATGATGAAATCTGAAGGAACAAAGGGGGGGGGGGTTAGCAGCAGCTCTGGATTTCATTAGAAGACAGCAAATTAAATCATTTAGCCATATAATGCGAATGTCAGCAGACAGTATACCACAGGAAGCACTGATGTACAGACCAGGTGGAAAGCAAGGAAGAGGCTGACCATGCAAGCGATGTACACAGTTACAGAGTCCCTGGGAATCCCAGTTTATGGAGCACAAAAACTGAGTCTTTCTCATGAATTTTACTTCACCTTGACACTGCAAGGTATAAGCGGACAAGATGAGAGGAGATGGTGATGAAATATCTATTACTGAAATCAGCCAGTAGCATGTCCTTTGCAGAACCTGGCTCTCCTTGCAATAACGGTCGCTAGTTGGACAACGACGGCTTCTTTGTCGGAGTTCAGTCCCCTGGCTGCAGTGCAATTACGGAGTAGAAAAGAGGGAACGAAACAAATGACATAATTAGGGGTAGGGTTAGGGTTAGGGCTTGGGTTAGGGTAACACATTTAACGTCGCTAATGTGAGTCGCAGCGCGTGGTCTATAAGCCATGTTGAACTCAATTTGTTTTGTGATTCGTGCCTTGTCCACTCCGTAGTTGCACTGCAGCCAGGGGACTGAACTCAGACTAAGCGTCCAAGTAGCGACCGTTATTGCAAGGAGAACCCAGAACCTTGCTCCCATAACAACCTTCCGGAAAACTTCTCAATAACAAGCAAGAAGCCCTGCGTCCGATACACCCATCTGGAGATCATCCGCCACGTCCTGCACACATCTTCTCTTTGGCTTTCCTCTTCCTCTCTTCCCAGGCACATACCCCTGCATTATTGTTCTCTCTAAACTTTCATGACGTTTCAAGTGACCAAAATATTTCAGTTTTCTGTGTTTCATCGTCTTTAGTAACCAACCTTCTTCAGTATTCAGTTCTTGAAATTTTGATGCATTTGTTATTTTCTTTACCCATGATATTCTTAGAATATAACTAAGTCTATAACATTTGAATTCAAAGGCATTTATGGGCTGTTCAGCTTGTTTAGTAAGTGCCCAGGTCTCACAGGAGTATGTTGCAATGGGAAAGATGCATGCTCTTAGAAATCTAATTTTTGTAGTTCTGTCTGTCCCACTTCATAGTTTATTCAGTTGTTTTAGTCTTTGAAGAGCAATTATTAGCCTTTGTTTAATTTTAATTTTTTATTTTGTTACCATTGTTGATAATCAATGACCCAAAATATTTAAAAATTTTCCACAACCTACAATCTGTCCTCATTAACACATATTTATTTCTCCATTTCTCAATTACTGAAACAGAGAGAGAAAAATAAACTATATATCCCAGTTATAACCTGGATGTTTTAAACTGGGTATTGTTGATTAAATTATCAATACTACTTTAAAGAGAGAAAGACACAGAGAGAGAGAAAAAAGAGAGAGAGAGAGAGAGCCTCCATACATGGTTAAAGGGGTAGGAGCATCTAGCTCACCTACAAGTTTGAGTAGCAGTGGCTGAGAGAGTTGAGTGGTTCAAGATGCCTAAGCGCCTATATTCTGGTGCCTCTGTCGTGGTGACGTCGCCTTATTGATTGAACTCAAAGCAACTCAACTGTTATTGATTAACATTATTATACTATTATCACGATAAACACCGAATTTTATAAAGTACGACTTCTGTAGCTTAGCAACCGAATTCCTAAACACCGGATGTTGTTGTGAAACTTCTCTTTGGTCATGCGCACACTTGCACTTCGGGAAGAAATTCCAGCAGAAGTTCCGTTCAGCGAAAATTTAGTGATGGTTTGTTTGGACACGAAGATGTCCCAGGGATGTTCCTTTCTGCATTTTATACCGTCTGCTGAGTTTTGATTTATTACATACCAAAGAAAATGGATCCTAAGATCGCCAAGAAAACCCAAGACACCTTGGGAAAGATTATTAAAAAGCCACCGCTTACGGATAAATTGTTGGGCAAGCCGCCGTTTCGGTTTCTTCACGATATCATGACTTCTGTAAGTGAACATGATAAATGAATTGAAATATATCACTATCAGCGTTTACACTATTTTTCACTTAAGATAACTTGGACGACTTCTAGCTGAAATATTATTTACAAGTATTTATTGTTTTGCGTCTTAATAATCTTTTATAGCAGAGAACTGATGCTGATAAAGGAAAAACCCTTCTGGCGCGCTACTTGGAGCAAACTGACCAAAAAGACGAAGCTACAAGAATAGGGGTTAAGATGAAACTGTCGATGCTGTGCGAGAACACTGTGTTAGGCACTGATCTCACAATCACTGCAGATACCTTAAGAACTTGCCTCAAGAAATCGCGCAGCACTGCTCCAGGCCCTGACGGCATCCGATACAACGACATGCTGATGATGTCGAATGCTGATTTGAAAAGCGTGGCAAAGGAATTCAATATCAGCATCCAGAGTGGCCAGATACAAGAGGAATGGCTCCATAGTTATTTGTTCCCACTACCAAAGCCTAATAAAGACCACTCGAAGATCTGCGGCTACAGAATCATCTCGATGCAGAATACTGTTGGCAAACTTTTGGAAAAAATTGTCGCACAAAGATTGACCACCTACTTGGAACTACATGATAAGTTCCCACCAACACTTGGAGGGTACAGGTTAAATAAAGAGACATGGTTCAATGCTGCAGTTTTTTCGCCTACGATGTGTACGAGGGATTTCAGATTAAAGAAGAGACATGTGCGGCAGTGTTGGACTTAGAAGATGCCTACAATAAAGTACCATACGATTATTTAATGCAATTACTGCTTAAACTAGAAGTTAATCCTATTCTGATCCGCTGGATTGCTGCGGTCCTGTTCCAGAGAAAGATTGTACTAAGATGTGGTAGCTGGTCCTCCGAACCGCAAACGATATGTCCAGGCTTGCCACAGGGATCACCGCTATCACCAGTCTTATTCAATGTTTACACGGTGATGATCACTGAGCAGCAGTTGAATGGAAAGGGAAGGACTTTGTCATTTGCTGATGACATTTTGATTTATCGACGAGGGCGTGATAGACAGGAGATCGCCAGCACTATGCACAAAGAACTCGATCGAATTGCCGCCTGGTGTGATGGTTCCAATGCCTATGTCAATCCTTCGAAGGCATCAGTATCATGGTTCTCTTTGAACAATCACATTGTCAAGTCGGACTTACCAGAAGTGAAAATGCGTGATAATGTATTGATCAGAACCAACGTTATGACGTTTCTCGGGGTGAGGTTCGATCGCAGCTTGTCATTCAGGGAACACGTTGACCATGTGATAACAAAAGCATGCAAAGGTCTATCTGCAATGAGGATTATGGCTGCTTCCAATATTGAGCAAAGACTACTAATACTTCTATTCTACGGTCTGGTCCTTTCCCCCATTGAATACGCTCTGGCCATCCTCACTGTCAGTGCTACCCAGATTAAACGACTCGAAAAGGTGCAAAATGAAGCCATGCGCATTATTTTGGGATGTACTAGAGACACATCCTGTGGAGCAATGAGGTATCTACTTGACTTTCCAACAATGAACCAAAGGATCAGGATGTGGAGGGCTCGGGCATATCTCAAAATATGCGCTGATAAGAAACACCCACTGCATCAAGCGCTTTTTAGTGAAAAGGGCGACAGACTGAAGAGGGGGAAATCGTGGCTAGGTCGGGCAGAAGATGTTATTAGGCAAATATGCAGCCTAACCGACATCATACCTGGTGCAGAATGGATACCTGTGCCTCAGGCGTTTATTTGTACATTTTCCTGTATTGTCACACTCAACAGGCAATGTAGAGAAGAGAATCCTGTTGCTGTTAATGCAGAGGTCAACGCTCTCATCGGTGAAAATTCAGACGAAGCAGATGCAATAATCTATACAGACGGATCCGTTATACGCCAAAGAAGAAGCGCATGGGCATTTACAGCACGCTCAGCGGGCAGAACAGTCAAAGAAGCCAACGGCGCCTTCTCCATGACAACCAGCAGCATGACGATGGAAGTGATGGCAGTGACACAAGCGCTTGCCTGGCTTGAAACACAAAAATACACCCGCGTGTGTATACTTAGTGATTCAATGAGTATGATCCAGAGGGTTCAGGCAGGTTCAGTGCGAAGACAATGGCTTAAATCATTACAGAAGTCCACTGTTCGTGGAGTCACCTTTATTTTTGTTCCGGGACACGCAGGCGTCGATGGAAATGAAAGAGCTGACAGGTTGGCTGGATCCGCTATCACTACCGATTGTTGGCCTATGGATCATGCTGGTATTATCAATGCCCTCAGAGAAATGGGAAGAATAGAGGACTTTGGTGGCAGTGAATCCACATCACTCGCCAGAATGGCAGACTTGGGAATTAAGATCGGCACAGCAAAAAACGAGACGCACACCAGCTACGCCAGAAGACTTGTTAATCAACATAGAACTGGTACTATTAGCCATCGGACGTTGGGGTTCATACTGAGGGGAGGATCTGAGCACCTATGGACATGTCCGGAGTGCAATGAGGATAACCCAACTAACTAACTAACTAATCTTTTATAGAATAGTCAATCACTCAGCTTTCGTTCCTGGACTTTCCAAAATTATCAAATCAAATTTATATTTATTTAAATTAAAAAGCCCCAGTCTCCATAATAAGTCATTATCAATCATGATTTGATATGTGCATTCAGTAGTTATCAAGTTAGAGAACTTGCCTTTCTGGGTCTTCATCGTCTTCTGTTCTTTGTGTGTTTACACTTAGCTGAATTTATACTATACTGTTTAAGGCAGATCTGTGTTTGAACCTTTTTGTGTTTTTTTTTCTAGATGTTTTTCATGCTGACACTGCTAGGTTACACAGAACGTGTGACTGAATGGTCTAGTTCTGGACCCCACTCTTATCATGGATCCAACTTTTTCCTCCTAAACTATTTTGACTTGGAAACAACTATTTTCACTGATATATCGGTTTCTCCTTATGTAAGTGTATTTGAACCAGTTAACACTATTAGCACAGAGCAGCACAGAAAGAGAGGACAGCTCAAGAAATGAAGAAACGGGAAACCTTATTGCCCTTCTCAAGGCTACCTGGCTACCCTCAAAAAAGCAGCAAAGGCCCGAAGCACTGTCAGACTGAGAAGCATGTTGAAGCAGAAGGATAAAGTCAGGCATGTAATCTTGTCGCAAGGAAATATCACATCAAAAACTGCATAGAAAAAAGGACTTGAATATAACCAATCCCCTGTGAACGAGTACCTATTTTATTTACTTTTTTTTATTTTAAACCATTCAAACACTTATCACAGTTTGCATATAGGACATTATCGGCTGACTGAGGTTTTTTTTTTTTTTATTTAAGACAATTTCTTAACAGAGTGGAGCATATGCTTATGGTGGTAAAACAAGGTCTTTACATGTTTTACTTACATTCATATTTGTTTGTACTTTCTAGGTAATTAAAACCACAGGGTTTATGCAAGGCTTGTTTACAGAGACAGAGATGAACTCAGAAAATGTAAAGGTAAGCTGCAGGCATCATTTCTGTTGCTTGTTCCTCCCTGTATGCTTGATCCTGTGCATTTTCTTCTGTAAATGAGTCTTGAGCCTTCATCCAGTAATGTGTGTGTGTGTGTATATGTGTAAATACATATTCATTGTCATCATGTGGCCTGTCCGACTGCATAGGCACTTATGTCTCTCCACAGATCTCGCCCCTTGGCATTGTGAATCAGTTCCGCTGATGATATTCCACCATGCCATCACTTCAGGCTGTCAGACATCTCTTTTGGTATTAATCTCACCACCATTAGCCCGGTGACAGTCTTTGTATCACTTGTGACTCGTTATATTCCATACCTGAGGAGGATGTCTGTAGACGGCCATTAACATTGTTCACTATATTTAAGCTGTTTCGATTCATGAGATCTTGGGAAGATAATGTGGTTTCCACTTGCCTTCCACATCCACATGGGGGTCTATTACCTTGGCCATAGACGGGAGTTTTGCTTGAAAGCATATCTGAATCAGCATAACCTGTTCTGTCTCCTTTTGGGCTGGGTCTAGCTGCTTGAGTTTACACTAATTTTGGCATGATTTTGTTTTTTAAATGACACATGAAAGTGTCTCCGGCGAGACACCTCACAAACAGGGTGGAGTGCTCACATAGTCGCGGGACCGGGGCTGAGTGAAGTCTTGCCAGGCAGGTGATAGATAAAAGTTGTGAGTAGCTGAAATGTTTTTAGAACTGGTCACTGCTTTACCTGTGCTTGCCAGAAGATGCCTTTGTAGGCACAAGGGCTAGAACAACCTGACCAGTAAGGGCACTACTCTCAAGGAAGGTGTCACAGACCTCTGGGTGACCTTGTTGATCCGTGGCTCGTAACTGGGCCTATGACAGACAAACTAACCTTTAACACACACTAAACCCGAATGCACACAGGGCACACACGACAATCTTTATTGCAAGTACAGGTAATACAACAGACAGTTGACTTCCCGCTGTGTGGCCACCTATTGCCTGGACCCTCTGGCCGAACGAGCTTTACAATCGCCTCGCTCTCCAGTCCGTTCCACAAACAATCTCTGGTGCACAAACCACAGCTAGGCAGGATATGCTCTTTTCTATTGTCACACCGACCTACCAAGATGTCACAGCCTCTGTCTAGTGCAGGGTCGGTGTGACAAGGTTAGACATACTCTCACAAAACATGTACCTAACCGATTTAACTGGTCAGAAGTAAATGGACACTACTTACTTATTGTGAGACAACACAATACATTATACGAGTTAAATACTATCCTATTCTAACAGAACACTGTAAATAATCTATGCAGTCACTAAAGAAATATCCTAACTCTAATATTCTATCACTGTCTCGCTAACACATCTGCTCCGTCTGAATGCTGTACACCGAATCCCCTGTGTTCTTTCACCTCGTGTCTTTTGACTCGTTCACCTGCCCCTGGGGCAATCATGTTGCGAACTTCTCTGTAACAGAGTTCACTCTCACTTGTCGTTTTCAAGTGGTCTCTCACTGAGCGATAGTTTTACCGTGCAAACAGCACAGCCTAGGCAAGTCATGCAACTGACCTTTGTGTCAACCCTGGGGTGTCACCTGAACACGGTACACCCTACGGTGTGGTCCATTCCGCCTGATGACTGCACTCACTGGGTTCTGACAGAAGGTAAGGGCACTACTCTCAAGGAAGGTAAGGGCACTACTCTCAAGGAAGGGAATTGCAACCTCCTATGAGTATTTTGCAAAGAAACATCATGTCCAGGGTTTAGTTTCTGGTGTTTCAAAAACGGTATTACCTGCATTTTTTTTTAAGGCATCAAATGCCCAGTGCGCTAGCTAAGTTGATCAAACCAGCTGCGTGGCGACCGGGTGACAAACTCCTTGTGGTCCGAGTTCACGCTCGGGGGTAGGCAGAAAAGCTACATATTTCCCAGATTTACGGTATCTATCATGGAATCTAGGCTGAAGGGTTGCGATATTCATGGTACCGAGCCACTGGGTTTACTACTCATGGTTTCTGGATAAAAAAATTGTAAAATAAAAAGGCATAATATTTTCAGCGCTACCATAATAGACACTTTGTGTAACTACGGCATCTTTTAAAAAAAAGGCATTTTTTGATGAGTGCTGGCACCCTTTTTTTCTGGAGAATGTTATGCAGTATGAACTGTTGGAAGTAGAAGTTAACTCTTTTTGGCATCACCTAATTTTATTCTTTGTCATTTTCACTATTTTTACTATTTTGTGAAATTACTCCTTTATCTTTGTCGTTTACTATTGTGAAACAGTTATTTAACTGCATTTGCTATTAACACACCATTCTTTTTGTTTGACAGGATAAGGACGCAAAGATTGCATTTCTTCAGAAAGCTATTGATATGGTCTGTGAGTATCTTGATTTTGTTTTCTTTTGCCTTGGGATGGGTTTATAATTGTTGTGTTTGTTATTCAACCCGTGCTTGGTGAATGTGACTTTCTGTAACTTATGGTGCTATTTCAGTGATTTGAGACATATTTAGGGAGCTGCGTGGTATTGAGGCAAGTTGTCCGCGACTTTTTCACGTGGACTTGGACTTCTAGTAATTCTCCCTGGTCTCGGGGTAGTGAGATTGAATGCCTGTGTGCATTGCTGCGGATTTAAACAAATCTCTTGGCAGTTGGAAGTCAAAAAGAGTAGCCTAACGGTGCTGCCCGGAAAAGATTTGGAGTTAAAAGTCTACACAAAGTATTTCAGGATCCTCGCCAGTGCTACAGAGCTTGTGCACTGTGCTGAGCTTCTTCAGACCCAGACTTGAGTTAGAAGAAGAACGATGCACTTATGGGTTACTTCCCGTGTGCCATGATGTTGATCCGTTGTTCACACCTCAAACGAGACATACTCTGTGCATATTGCTTGGCTGTGGGTTGAGGCTGCATGATAGACCTGGCTAATGAAAACATCCTTTGTTTATTTAAGTTTGTCTGTTCACCTTAACGAAATATGGAGCTCCAAGTTATATAGCTTTAACTCTTTTTTTCTTGGGTTTGGCCAGCATTCATTTTGAGCGGAATTTTTTTTTTACTTCATCATGATAACTTAAATGGTTGGGACATATTGAAAGAATGTCAGATGACAGAGAAGTAAAAACTGTATACACCAGGGAGATGAATGGTCGTAGACCACGAGGCAGACCAAGAAGACGATGTAGAGATAATATCCAGACAGACCTGCAAACACTTGGTGTCACCAAGTAGAAAGAGAAGGCCAACCAGAGAGATGAATGGAGGCAGGTGATATCTGCAGCAATGAACCTCAAGGGCTCGGAATGCTAAAGAAAAAGAAGAACATCACAAAGCTAAAACCTTCGTGAAGCAAAACGTATTGGCTGTATAGAGATGTATAATATGTCAATTTAAAGAGAAATGAGTGCAGAATAAATCTAAACTATTTCAATGTCAGTATAAAAACAAAATATTATTAAAATCACACATCATTCATGGATGTTAGACACATATGATGATTTTTTACACACAAAAATGTTGTGTTTACCTCACTTTTTTTACTTGTTCAACAACACTGCTTTTCAGTTCTAAAAATTCACATGCCTTCTCTGTTCAGTTATGTATCAGCTAGTCTTTATTTGAAACATTAATTTAATTACATTGGATGTTATCACCATTTTTGTATGACATGTCAGATTTCAAAACAACCAAAATTGGGAAAACGGCTGATCGAAACAGATGACGAGATCGAAATATTTTGTTCAGTCCTAACCCTAACCTAATTATCGGCAATCGTTTTGGCACATGACATTATCAGTCGTAATATCAAGACTATCGTCATCATCTGGCTGAGATTCAAAAGCCACTAAAATGTCGTTTCATCTACAGATGATGGATTCAAACGACATTTAAATGGCTTTCCGTCCTCAGAGAGTTAAGACTAAACCATTAATTTTCCATTCTAACATATGCTGGCGAACGTTTGAAAACTACCAAAGAAATGAAACAGAAGGTAAATGCAATTTAAAATATATGTCCGCTAAAAATCATGAACATAATGAGGGAGCCAGGGCAGGAATAGAACAACGGAAGAGTTATCTAGAAGTTGCTAGTCCACTGTCCTCGACAACCCCAAGGGTGGTGTCCATTGAGTTTTACATATCCAGGCTCAGCCATAAAGGGCACAGTAACAAGCCAGCAACAAGATTGCAATCTTCCTTGAGTGGTCAGAGCTTTCTTTCAAAAACCGAGACAGATAAATCCTCCGACCATGTGACACCTACCAATAGATTTAGGATTTGCAAGGCGACCTGATTATGTGCAATCTGTATATAATGTCACTAGTGAGGTTCAGCCATAGACAGTGTGGATCTCATTCATATTCCTGATTTTTTTTAAATCTGCAGCTGCTGTTATCGGCAAAGATCTGAGTGTGCGGCCGGCAAAAATTGTCGCAGGCCACGAACCAGAGAAAACCAACGAATTTTTACAAGCTTTAACTGATGCCATTAATAAAAATGTAAGTTTGTTCTTCTTTTTACATGTCATATTTTGCTAAAGCTTGCATTGACTGTGTTGGTAAAGGGTAGTTTGGTGGAGCTGGTAGTGACGTAGTGACTCTTAGCTCAGGGGCTTAGTTTATGTGAGATGGTTAGAATTTCACAACTATTTCTGAAATAGAATGTCTCCTTGTCGGTTCGGGTGCCTCTTGGGGGGAGGGGGAGTGTGAGACCCACTGTCTCCCTAACAAGCATTTCATAAGTCGACTAATTATGAATTTTTTTTTTTTAAGTCGAAGTGTATCAGCCTGATAGATGAGAAATCAACAGCTTATGAATAAGGCAAATCTGTAAAATGAATGTGCATGCAAAACTCAAGGTCTGGGACAAGACCAAAGTCCATAAGTGTACGAACAACCAGAATCTTCTGCTGAGGTTTGCAGCTGGTGAACCACAAAGAAGAAGAAGTTTAAAACAAATTGATGTAAAAATGTTGGTGATTATCTTGATAATAGCAGATAAAAGAATAATAAATAAGTTAATTGTCAATTACTTCTTCATAACAGCAAATGGGAAATGTAAGTTTTGAAAAAATACAGAAATTATCTATCAGTTACTCCATCCGGTGTCATCTCCACAGTGTAGGATGACCGTGTACCCACAAATTATATGTTGTGAAGAAACATAACTGATTTCAGAGCCAGGCATGACATGTCTTCTTCTTCTTTTCCCCCTCCTTCTCCTCCTCCTCCTTCTTTTTCTTCACCTCCTTCTTCTGCTCCTCCTCCTCCTTCACATTCACTGGCTGTAAACTTCAGCGAAAAGTTCTGGTTGTTCATCCATCTCTGGACTGTAGACTTGTTCCAGAACCTGAGTGTTGCCTGCATATCCATTTTACTGATCTGACTTATTTGTATGCAGATTGTTGGTTCCTTGCCTCTCAAGTAGATGCACTCCAACCTCGAAGGAAACCTCCAATTAGTCGACTCTTAGGATATGCTTGTTGGGGAGGCAGTGGGTCCATTCTGGTTTTCCCCCACAGTGGGACCCCAGAACCCACACGGGGAGCTTGACATGTTAACTGTACATACAAATATTTTGGCAGAAGCAAGGCAGCCCAGACAGTCCAGGATAGCTGATAATTTGACATTACGTTTATTCTGTTGATTTGCTACACTTTAGCTCTTTCTGTACCAAACAGCGTACGATGCGTGTGTTGGTAACTTCTTAACAAGAAAGGTTCTTCTTTTTTCCGTGTCTCAACTTGTTAACCCTACCAGACCGCTGACCCAATTTTTCTGGAATTTCTTAAACTGACGCTATACCGCTGTCCCTAATTTTCGGCAATTTTCGGAGTGCATGAAACAGACTAAAAATAACTAGCCAGTCGTAATCAGACCTCATGGATAGTCTTTCTAGATGTCTGCCCGCGCATGTTTGGATTGAATTTGTGTTGTTTTCCATGAAAAAATTCTGAAAACTCACAATGAAACGATTGGCTGATAAACCTAGCACTTCAACAGGAAAGTAAAGTAGGTCTAGGCTTTTAACAGTCAAACAGGTGATCGATACTTTGGTTTATTCAGACTCTGCAGAGTCATAATTTAATGAAGAATACGTTCCCAGTTAAAGTGACAGTCAGTGACAGCTGGAATGATGAGGAGAATCTTGCAAATTATAAATCTAGAAATCGATCAAAAGTAGAAGGGGGCGTGTCCCTCAAACAGCAACATCTGTTGTTCATTTTGTGAAACAAGGCTGATCCTCCTGAGTGGATTGGCACACAAAGGTGGAATATTGGCGCTAGATAAAAAGTAAGCCTATTTTCTACAGTGTCTCCAAGTTTCATCATATTCTAGCCACTTGTTTGCATGTTACTAATATTTTTATAAATTATGTTGGTTTTTTCGCGTTAATGCCCAGGAGCTCAGGTATAGGGGACACTTAGGTTCAGGGCCTCAGGTTTGGTAGGGTTAAATTAACCTGTCCTAGCAATATTGGTGTGTTTACTGATCCTTTATATTAAGGTTATGAAATCTGCTTCAGATACAATATGCGCTTAATCTGTTGTCTTTCTCTGCATAATGCTGTTGTGCATCACAGGCACAGCTGATGATCGGTTTCTCAGATAGTGGCACTCGTTAGCTTGCTGCATGGTGATATTGTTGAGTTTCAGCAAGTTGTTAACTTCATCTATCCATCTTCTTCTTGGCCTGCCTCTGCCTCTTGATGTTTCCATTCTCATGTTGTATGCTCTTGCAATCGGTGACGCTGGGTTCATTCTAACCAGGTGGCCAAACCATTTCAGTCTTCGCTTTTCAAAAAATCTAATTACAGGTGTTGTTCCCACTATTCTGATGATCTTTTTCTTTCTTTTATGGTCTTTTCTTGTTATGTTGACTGCTTATTTTTATATTACTTGGCATTAAGTGGCAGGACAAAATCACAAACACTGAGGTACTGGAAAGAGCAGGCATTAGAACAGTCTTCTCAATGCTCAGTCGATGGAGGCTCAGCTGGCTGGGTCACACCTGGAGAATGGAGGATGACAGAGTCCCTAAGAACATCCTGCGTGGTGAATTAAAGATGGGTAGAAGATGTCGGGGCTGATCTCTACTACGGATATATAGATGTGTGCAAATGGGACAATAATAATACAGATATTGATGTAGACTCGTGGGAACAAAATGCCGTGGACCATGTTGTGTGGAGGGGCCACATCGAGAAAGGAATGGAAATAAAGGAAAGAATGATTGCAGAAAGGATGAGTTGTCTGAGAATAACCAGACTAAAGACAAATGTTGACAACAGTGGTCTTGAAATCCCATGCTATCATTGTAGAAGTCTTTTCTTAATGTGGACAGGTCTAACTATTCACACTCGCCATCTCCATGGGATGTGAGTCTTGTGCCTCTTCATAGCGCAATATAACACTGTCATTTAGAAAGATGGAAAGGTGCCAGTCATTACAATTATGTACTAAATTAATTGAAATTTTTTTTTAAACTGCGTCTTCTGCCAGAATAACTTTAAATAAAACTACCCAGGACTGAAAATTGTTTGTCAAAGTTTAATGTTGTGTTTTATTTTTTATTGAAATTTCAGGTTGATAATGATGAATATGTGAAAAGAGTATTAAAGGGAGGAAAAGCAGGTGGGTCATCTAAAGATGAAAGAAAGGAGGATAAAAAAGACAAAGCAAGAAGTGAGGATAAGAAGAAAGGACAAGATTTAGAGGTATACAAGCAATTGTGCACTGTTTGTATATATGTACTTTTTTTTAAAATGTACATGCCAATTTAGTTAATATTGTGTGATGAATATCTGACTGGGGAGAGACAAGCTGATATAGTATCAGGAATAAGGCAAACAAGGGGAGGTTCTAGACAGACGGGGGGGGGGGGGGGGGGGCTGTGCTAGAGGGGCCTAAGGAAGCAAGCTATGCTAGATGGACAAGGGAAGGCAAGCCATGCTAAAGGGACAAGAGGTGGCAAGCCATACAAGGGTAGACAAGCCATGCTAAAGGGGCAAGGGGAGGTAAGCCCCTTTTCATCATATCTTTTCTCCTCCGCCATCCTCTCTCTCATTTTTCTCTTCTTTATATTCCTTCTGTTCTTCCTTCGCATTCCTCCAACCGCATTCTCCTTTTTTTTTTTACTCATTATATTCTATTTTTTCTTCTTTTTCTTTCTTCTCCCTTTTCCTCATCATTCCTTTTCTCCCCCCTCCCCCTTTTTTTTAAAATTCCTTCTTGTCTTCTTTTTTCTTCTTGTATGTGGTGTGGGTGTGTGTGAAAAATACAAGAGCATGAATGGTAAATGCATAAATTCTGCTTTTGTGTGTGTTTTTTGTTTCACATTTATCGTCCATCCTTTTCTTTTTTCAAACTTGATTTTTATATTATGTTTATTGTTATTTGAACATACTTAATTGATAGAATATAATTGCAGTACAAAAGATGTGTGCTTTAAAGGGCCGAATATAAGATGGGCTCGCTTGCCTAAATTGTAACCCTTTGAAAATAAAGTTTGTTCGCTCCCCCAACAGCATTCTCCCAACAGTGCTCTCCAAACAGCTTTCTTCCAACAGCGTTCTCCCAACAGTGCTCTCCCGACAGTGCTCTCTCAACAGCACTCTCCCAACAGTGCTCTCTCAACAGCATTTTCCCAACAGCGCTCTCACAACAGCGCTCTCCCAACAGCGCTCTTCCGACAGCGCTCTCTCAACAGTGTTCTCCCAGCAGCATTCTCCCAACAGCATTCTCCCAACAGCGCTCTCCCAACAGCATTCTCCCAACAGTGCTCTCCCAACAGCGTCCTCCCAACAGTGCTCTCTCAACAGCGCTCTCCCAACAGCGCTCTCCCAACAGCGCTCTCCCAACAATGCTCTCCTAACAGTGTTCTCCCAACAGCGCTCTCCCAACAGCGCTCTCCTAACAGCGCTCTCCCCACAGCGTTCTGCTTAGGCTTTCTTTTGGATGTCCTTGTTTCCTCAGTCTATTTGTTTTCCCATTTCAGTGTCCAATTTTTCTAATGATGTGCCCAGTAAATTGCCATCGTTTTCCTTTAAATGTTAATGAAAATGGTTGTCTATACGTTTCTCATTTTGATTTCTCCTTGCCATTGCTTACTTGCCTACTTTTTTTGTGAATTTGTTTTTTCCCCAACTTTACTAGGAGAAAGGAGGGCGAGAGAAAGAGAGTAAAAAATCAGAACCTAGCGGAGACTCAGGAGATCAGGAAGCGGAGCGTAAACGTGACCGGGATCGAGACAAAGATCGGCACAGGGATAAAAAACCAGACAGAGAACGAGAAAAAGATCGTCACGGAGAACGGAGGTCTGACAGGGATGGAGAGAAAGACAGAGAAAAGCATAGAGAACGTGAAAGGGAATCTAAAACAAGGGACAAGTCTAGAGAAGGCAGGGAGGAAAGAAACAGGAAGAAGGATAAGGAAAGATCTAAGAAGGTATGTTGAAAGATAGTTTCACTTTGTTAATTCCTTTTAGTTTAAAGCATACTAGTGGCCAGACAGAAATCTGAGTTCTGTTTGAGATACATCGGTTAAGGGATTTTGTTTACATACTATACAAGGCATAACAAGGCAAGATCATGTTAGAAACGATGATATCAGAAGGAGAGTTGGCACAGAACCAATACTGAACTTTATAGGTTGACAACAAATTGAGTGGTTTGGCCATGTGACAAGATTGGCATCAGACACGGCACCACAGAGAGCAGTGTTATACAGATACAACAAGCCAGAGGAAGACCACACAGAACGTGGACGGCAGAAATATCAAAGACACTGAAAAGTACTTTATATGAAGCGAACATAAGGGTCTGTTACAGTACATGCGAATCAAGTTCTTGAATGACTAGATCTGAAAGACAGTACGTTGAAGTGCAAAAAAACAGAGATCTCTTCCTGCCCTGACATCGCGAGGCATTCCAGGAGTAGAGAAAAGAAGAAGAGTGATATTGTGTATTCTTGTTTGTACTTGTGGTATTGTAGATTTTTATAACCTACTGATGAAGGCGGTCTGACCACAACGTTTTCTTGTTGTTTGATTTGATATGTTTTCAGGAAAGTTTAAAGCAGAGTATCCCTATTGTAAATTGAGCAGAGAAGACACAAACAGCAGACTGCACAATAACAATAGATTCTACAGTTTGTTTCTTGGCATAGTTAGCGATTGACCTTGACTTCCAGGTCGACCCAGCCTTGAGTGGGTACCAGGTGCAGTCCCGGGAAGTAAAGGTGGCTGGTGTGATGCTGACCACATCAACCATCTAGTACCGATTGGTCTATAAAATATAGGTCTTGCCCTAGATGCCCTATATGCCTAAAGGCGTGGAAAAGGGTCCTTCACTTTTGTATTTTAATTTCATTATTAGCTATATCTCATCAGGTACATTCCTCAGTAACAATTCAAAAAAATAAAATCTGATCAAAATACAAAATCAGCTATACTCTACAGTAACTGCCTGCTTAAGCAGGTCAAGCAGAGGTTTACAACCATATCTTTTTGTCTGCACAAATCTGGATGAAAGCATTTTATCACTGTTTCAATGAACGTAGTATTCTGCCATTGGTAGTTGATTTCTGTCCTAGACTTTTTTTTGCACTTTTTTTTTTAAAGTCATACTCTCATCTCATCTTCTCCTCTCCCATCCTTTTTTTTCATTCTTATCTCTTCTCCTCCACCATCCTCTTTCTCCTTCTTCTCTTCTTTATATTCCTTCTGTTCTTACTTGGCATTCCTTTCTAACCTCATTCTCCTTTTTTTTCTACTTATTTTATTCCATTTTCTCTTCTTTTCTTTTCTTCTCCCCTTTCCTCACCATCCCTTTTCTCCTTCACCCCCCTCCTCCCCATTTTTTATATTCCTTCTTGTCTTCTCCTTTCTTCTTGTCTTTTTTTTTTCTTCCTTCTTAACACCCTTCCTCTCTATCCCCTTTCTGTGTTTTCTGTCCTTTGTGTTTCTTAATGCCCTTTCCTTCCTTCTGGTCTTCTTCTTCCTTCTTCTCTTTTCTCTTTTTCACTTTACTTTGTTTTCTTTCCAGTCACCTTCCTCCTTCTACATATCAGCTCCACCATTTCCTGTTATCACCTTTCTGCATAATTTCTGTGAGACCACGACATAATTTCACTCAAACCCTGACATACTTTCTCTCAAACCCTAACATAATTTACAAAACCCTGACAACAGCTTTCAGAAGCTTCACCTCACACCACTAAGCGGTGGAACAAACCCAAGAGACTCGCTGACAGCCACATGACTAGGTCACGTGGACACACTGAAAGCTCAGACCTGCCTGATCCTGGGGCGAGATCAGCTGACGTGTTAACAAACGACATGAACTGCGACGCCCAAAAAATGTTCGCTGCCACTGGGTTTTACGAAAAGCCATCGTCCGCAAGAAAATGTGACGAAGATCCTCATTTTGACGCTAGCTTACAAGAGACATTTACTGAGAGCAGCAGAGAGAGCTTGAGTAGCAGAAGGGACAGTACAAGACACAGCGGCCATATTCCTTCAGTTGTTGCTGGGCACGCAGTAGGAGCTTCTGTTGATCATGAGAGGGAGAATCTGGCAACCGGTGATCACTGGAATGTACCAGCTGATGTGAGAATTCTTCGGTTGAAGTTGCATTTGTGCAGTTATAGTTGAACTGTTATTTAATTGCAACATGTTTACGGGTACTTTTTGTGAATTTGATTATTATTACAATTTTTGTTATTGTTTTGGTGAAGGTTATTAGCTCATGCTGTTAGATTTTTTACTGCTTCATGTCGTTCTGTACAACGCACCACGCCATTCCTAATTTGTTTTCTACATTGTTTGCTTTTCTTATAAACATTTACTTTTCCTAAATATCTACTGTGCCTAAACATTTATTTTCCTTATCAGTTGGTACTTAAAGATGACGATATTACACTTCCTTTTCATATTTCCCATCAGCTTGTGTGTTTACACTCACCCACCTGTACACACCTTCTCTACCTCTCTCTGTCTACACTCACACACCTGTACACACCTTCTCTACCTCTCTCTGTCTAAACTCACACACCTGTACACACCCATACACACCTTCTTTACCTCTCTCTGTTTCTGTATGGGGCTGTCTCTTCCTCTCTCCGTCTTCCCCCTCTCTGTCTCTATGTGTCTGTCCCTCTATGTCTCTCCGTCTCTGAGGGTAATCTCCCCTCTCTCCCTGTCTAAGTTTAAGATCTCTCTCTATCCCTCTCTGTGTCTAAAGGGGTAAGATCTCCCCCCTCTCTCTCTCTCACCCCTATTTCAATGTAAGATCTCCCCTCCCCCTTCTCTCTCACCCCTATTTCAATGTAAGATCTCCCCTCCCCCTTCTCTCTCACCCCTATTTCAATGTAAGATCTCCCCTCCCCCTTCTCTCTCACCCCTATTTCAATGTAAGATCTCTCTCTCTCTCTCTGCCTGTCTCTGAGGGTAAAATCCCCCCTGCTTTCGCTCGCGCGCGCTCTTTCTATCTTTTTCTGATGGTAAAATTGTTTATTATTATCTTTTCTGGAAGCTTAACTTAGACACTAATATCATCTCTAGAGAGATCAAAGTCGGGACAAAGAGAACGAGTCTCCAGGCAGAGACAAGGCTCAAGCAGAGACAGAAGAAAGACAGGTCAGTAAACTGTTTCTGAAATATTTGTGGTTTTTTTTTTTTTTCAACCTGAAGTGCTGGCTTTAATTCTACATTTAGAAATCAAAAAGGTAAGTCTGTGATCTGTCTAACTGTCGGTGAAAGTTAGATTTACATTTGCTGTGATATTGATAAAGCAGTAACATGGCTAGAGAGGCAGACCTTTATCTTTCTCAGTGACTCAGTGAGTCTGCCCAGGAAGACAGAGATAGGCTAGGTCTGATGTCAGTGGTAGGCATCTCTAAGGTGGTTGTGGCTGAAAAATATCAGTTTCATTTTTGTGCCAGGGCACACAGGCGCCCAAGGAAATGAGCAGACAGGTGCCCGATAGATTTGCTTGTGGACAAGCTTATATACCGAATGCTTGATGAGAAGACAAGGAGTTTGTGAGCATCTAGTGATGACTTTAAATCTGCAACCATGACCAGACTGCAAGAGCAACATGTTAAAAGGGATGCGGCCAGACAAGAGCAACATGTTAAAAGGGATGCGGCCAGACAAGAGCAACATGTTAAAAGGGATGTGGCGAGACAAGAGCAACATGTTAAAAGGGATGTGGCGAGACAAGAGCAACATGTTAAAAGGGATGTGGCGAGACAAGAGCAACATGTTAAAAGGGATGTGGCGAGACAAGAGCAACATGTTAAAAGGGATGCGGCCAGACAAGAGCAACATGTTAAAAGGGATGTGGCGAGACAAGAGCAACATGTTAAAAGGGATGCGGCCAGACAAGAGCACTATGCAGGAAGCCAAAGAAGAAACCCTGCAGAACTGGTATCTTTAGCTGCTGTACGCTACATGGTTTCCTGAGGAGGGGATCCAAGCACTTATGAACTCAATGGTTCAGTGTGCAGTGAGGATAATCTGTTGTCTAATTAACTTTCTGATCAATTCCTACCTGCCTACACCATAAAAGTGGCTAATACATTTACCTATGGCAGTATTTTGTTTCATAAACTTCTTTTATGCCATTTTAACTGGACAGTTTCTCCCCTTGTATTCAACTCAGCGATTTCTCCCCTTGTATTCAGCTCAGCAATTTCTCACATTGTGTTCAACTCATTAATTTCTCTCATTGTATTCAAATCAGCAATTTCTCCCATTGTTTTTTACCTCAGCAATTTCTCCCATTGTTTTTTACCTCAGCAATTTCTCCCATTGTATTTTACCTCAGCAATTTCTCCCATTGTTTTTTAGCTCAGCAATTTCTCCCATTGTTTTTTACCTCAGCAATTTCTTCCATTGTTTTTTACCTCAGCAATTTCTCCCATTGTATTTTACCTCAGCAATTTCTCCCATTGTTTTTTAGCTCAGCAATTTCTCCCATTGTTTTTTACCTCAGCAATTTCTTCCATTGTTTTTTAGCTCAGCAATTTCTCCCATTGTATTTAAATCAGCAATTTCTTCCATTGTATTCAAATCAGCAATTTCTCCACTTGTATTCAGTTCAGCAATTTCTCCTATTGTATTTTACCTCACCAATTTCTCCCCTTGTATTCAGTTCAGCAATTTCTCCCATTGTATTCAAATCAGCAATTTCTTCCATTGTATTCAAATCAGCAATTTCTTCCATTGTATTCAGTTCAGCAATTTCTTCCATTGTATTCAGTTCAGCAATTTCTCCCCTTGTATTCAGTTCAGCAATTTCTCCCCTTGTATTCAGTTCAGCAATTTCTTCCATTGTATTCAGTTCAGCAATTTCTCCCCTTGTATTCAGTTCAGCAATTTCTCCCCTTGTATTCAGTTCAGCAATTTCTCCCCTTGTATTCAGTTCAGCAATTTCTCCCATTGTATTCAAATCAGTAATTTCTTCCATTGTATTCAAATCAGCAATTTCTTCCATTGTTTTTTAGCTCAGCAATTTCTCCCATTGTATTCAAATCAGCAATTTCTTCCATTGTATTCAAATCAGCAATTTCTTCCATTGTATTCAAATCAGCAATTTCTCCACTTGTATTCAGTTCAGCAATTTCTCCCATTGTATTTTACCTCAGCAATTTCTCCCATTGTTTTTTACCTCAGCAATTTTTCCCATTGTATTTTACATTGGCAATTTCTCCCGTTGGTTTGTTTCATTCAGGAACCTTCCACAAGATTACAAAGACCCGCCTCAGCCAAGGGCTCTCGTCGCAGAAGAGAAGGTAAAAATTAAAATGTGACAACTTTACATTTTGCTTTGTCTGAGTTAAAACTGACAAAGAAATGTAATATAGAAACTTCACATTTAGAAACCTAAATACATTTTGCTTCATGTGAGGTAACCAGTTAACGTTTTCACTGCTTCCATTATACTGTGAATGGTGCATTGGTTTTGTTAGGTCCAAGTTCATTTTCTACTTATGGTGTCTCGTTTTTGACTGCCCGCATCTGTAAGGTAACTAATTTCACGAGAAGAATAACTGAAAATTTCTGTTTGAAAGAAAGGTGGTAGTGAAGAGAGCTAGTCCCTGCACCTCATAGTTACATCACCTAGCAGAGGTTTTGGGTTAACAGTTTATGCTCATACTGCTAATTTGTTTGTACGGTTGCAAAGCTGGCATACAAAATTGGAACGGATTCAATTTAACGCTTATTCCTTTACGCTGATCCAGCAGCATTCTTTGTTCCAAACATATTGTTGGTACTTTTCCTTTGGAGTAAGGAAAGCATGCCAGAGAGATCTCCTGATGCATGGGCAACGTAGGATTTCCATAAAAGTGTCCAGGTTTTGCGCTATGAAGAATGTTGAATTAAGTAGCAACATCACAGCACTCGAGACACCACCATAAGCGCCCCATCCCCATCTTTAGCAGCTAGTGAAGAGTTACAATTCTGATGGTACCAGTAAATGTCTGAATGTGTATCCGTCTCGCAAATTTTTTTCTGAGTGTCGAGCGTCGGCCAGATCCCCTTGTAACTCCTCACAGTGCCAGTCTCCTTAGATCATTACCATCTATGTGCGCCTCAGCGCTGTTCACTGGCTCCCAAAGTGAAGAAAAAAATCCTTATTAAATTTTAACACTATTGTCCCAAAAGGCGCCAGTCGAGATGATCCCGGAGCCTCGCTGATTGGAAAAAAATAATCCCGTAGGAGTTTTTTAAAAATAATAACACAATTTTGTGGAAAGTGGGGGTGGAGGAAATCCTTATTTGGTTTGTTTAGCATTAAAGTTAGTTGCCTATCCATTGTTGGACATTGCACATCAACCCCACATCATTTATTGGCTTTATTAGGTAGTTTTAAATTCTGTAGTTTGCCATTTCTTTGGGAATGGCATGACGTACTGCTATCAGAATTTGATTGTTCAGAAAACTTAACGTGCGTCATGACCTAATGCTTGTACTTATATGTTTGCATGTTTGGTTTATGTGTAACATAATTATCATTATTTCTTTTCTTCTCTGTGTCTTTTCCATTCATCATTTACCTTCTGATATATTCTTCTTCTTAGTAATCATGGCTGTAAACTCTGGTGGAAAGTTCCTGTTGTTTGTCCACTTGTGGACCTTGGTCTTGTCCCATAACTTCAAATCTGTGTGCACGTCTGTTTTACAGATCTGATTTAGTCTCTGCAGACTGTTGGTTCTTTGTTTCTCAGGCAGATGTGTTCCGACTTCAAGGGTAACACTCCTAATTAGTCAACTTATATGACATGGTTGTTAGGGAGGCCGTGGGTCGATTCCCCCTCCCCTCGCAAGATGAGGCCACAGTACCCACACAGGGAGCCTTCTGGGAGGAACCTAACAGTAAAAGAGCCTTTTCAACCTTCGCCACATCAGGCATACAGTGCTAGACATGATTGTTTAGACCAATCAGCAGTCAGTGGTAGTGGGTCAACATCACGCCAGCTGCCTTTACTTTCCAGGATTCTACCTGTCACCCATTCTAGTTCTAGGCCCAGTCAACCTGGAAGCAAAGCTCAGGTTTGGAAGGATTTTTAAAAAAAACCATCTTTTTTAATGCAGATTTCAACCCTAACCCTTTGTACTAGAAGGCAAGCTACCTTTTACTATAAGATTATACATCAGTGTGACATTAACACTGTTTTGTCTTGATGCTATCTGCCATTTATACATATGCAATATATATATATATATATATATATATATATATATATACACACACACACACACACACACACACACACACACACACACACACACACACACACACACACACACACACACACACTCATACAGATAAACAGATTGCTTATCAAAACAAAAACATTCTTGGCTGTTTGTTTTATGTATAAATAGTTTACAAAAAATATTTTATTTATAATTAAACTGACAAAAAAATGTTAATATAATAGATTATTTTAAGTACAGAGGCAATAACTTTCAAAATTGCTTGACCTCCTTTGAAATTCCCGTGTGACCCTCAGGGTGAAAACCACTGGGCTAGATGCTTCCCTGCTGACCTGTAGGCCTTGAGTTTGAATTGGCAGTTTCCTCCCCCCCCCCCCAAAAAAAAAGCTCTCTGCGGGCTGCTGTCTCGTTGTATTCTGTTTGCATGACCAAACCCTCTGATTTACTGTTTTAAATCACTATCATAATCACTTATCTAACAGTAGTGGAATGACTATATTAGCAATTATACTTTTGTTGTTGTACTTCTACTGTCACTACTAACATTGTCATTGATAGCATTTGTTTATGTGACACCTGTGGGAGTCAAGTTTGCCATTTTGTATGACTTTAAACTAACAGTTTTGTTGAACATGTTCGTATTATTATTTTCACCACTATTATTAACTCTTTGAGTCCCAAGGAACGCATCAAACGTTCATAGGTTCCTACCTAGAAGCCCAATAAACGCATGATGCGCCGATTTTATTACTTTCTTTACTACCCCCTGGACCTGTGATGCTAAACCCCCTGGGACTTAAAGAGTTAAGAATCATATTTATTATTTTTTTAACATTATTTCTATTATAGTTATTATTTTCATTGAAATTTGTTCATTATTATTACTTTCTTTATCTTGTTATGTTCAGGTTTGTTATTTGTTATTGTATCACTTAATACTAACAATTTTGTTAAGCATGCTGTTTTTATATTCATTGTTTTTGTCTTTTTTAATTAAGTTATTTTTATTATGTAGGATATTTTGTATTAGTGATTACCACTGTAATCATCATTATCATTACCGTCACCTTGTCTGCTTATTGTCAGGCCATGAGAACGTTGATGATCTAGAAGGAATGAATGAAGGTATTTTTCTTTACAAACCTTACCTTGTATATATGGTATGCTCATATAAATCTCTTTGAATTTTCCTTTACATTTTCAAGTACTTTTTCAAATGTTATGTTGTTAAGTGGCACTTTCCTACAGATTTCTTTTCTTTCCATTTACATTTTAGAGTACTTTTTCAAATGTTATGTTGTAAATGGTACTCTCATACTCATTTTCTGTCTTTCTCCTGACATTTTAAGAGTGCTTTTTCAAATGTTACGTTGTAAATGGAACATTTTACAAATTGCTTATTTTTCCATTACATTTTACAGTATTTTGTCATTATATGTTTTAAAGAGTATATTAGTAATTAATGTTTCTGCCCCTGAAACTTTGTAAATATTTATGCCTAATAAATTATAGTTTTTAGGAATGGCTAAAAATGTCTTCAATAAGATGCACACATTTCTGACAGCTAGAGAGATAAACAGGGAGTCGCCGTGGCAGATCAGAAGGTTGTGGGTTCGCTCCCTGACGGAGCCAGACTTTTAAAAAAATTACCTTGGCTCCCAGGTCAACCCAGCCTTGAGTGGGTACCGGGTGCAGTCCCGATAAGTAAAGGTGGCCGACGTGATGCTGACCACATCACCCATCTTGTGCCGATTACTCTATAGAAATATAGGTCTAGCCCTATATGCCTAAAGCTGTGGAAGAGGGTCATTTACTAGAGAGATAAACAATACACTTAAGTGAAAATCATCAAATGTTATATAAAACCAATCCTGCTGTATGGTGTAGAAGCTTGGACAATGAACAAGCAACCAGAAAATCAAATTGTTTCTAGAAATGTGGGTATACAGAAGAATGGGTCGTATTTCATGGACACAAAAACAGTCCAATAGAGAGGTTCTGGAAAGACTACAAATGAAAAGAGAATTACTGAAAGAAATAAAAGAGAGACAATTTAATTACTTTGGTACATTAAAAGACATAATTCACTTTTAAAAACCTTACTGGAGGAAAAGGTCGAAGGCAAGAGAGAAAGAGGTAGGCAACGATACAAGTGGGAGGACATTATCAAGAGATAAAGGGGCAGCTTTCTGAGAGAGTGTACAACCAAAGCAAGAGACAGTGTGTTGGAGATCCATTGAAACCAACCTTCTTCACTGTGGCGACGGCACCTGATTGATGCTTAATAAATTATCATTTTAAAAATATATCGGGCCTCAGACTGAGGAAGGAGATGTTTGAACGCTTGACATTGTGGCATGGAAGATCACCTGTGTTAGAAATTGTTGAAAATATATAGGACAGAAGGTTGTGGATAGACAAGACTACCAACGCTACACGACATGGACTATTGAAGATCATCTGTGTTAGAAATTGTTGAAAATATATAGGACAGGAGGTTGTGGATAGACAAGACTACCAACGCTACACGACCTGGACTATTGAAGATCATCTGTGTCAGAATTGATTGAAAATACAAAAGATTGCATTTGCATGACTACCACCACTACACGACATGGACTATTGAAGATGATCTGTGTTAGAAATTATTCAAAATATATAAGACAAAAGGTTGTAGATAGACAAGACTACCAACACAACATGGCATGGACTATTGAAGATGATCTGTGTTAGAAATTATTCAAAATATATAAGACAAAAGGTTGTAGATAGACAAGACTACCAACACAACACGGCATGGACTATTGAAGATGATCTGTGTTAGAAATTATTCCAAATATATAAGACAGAAGGTTGTAGATAGACAAGACTACCAACACAACATGGCATGGACCATTGAAAATCATCTGTGTCAGAATTGATTGAAAATACAAAAGACTGCATGTTTGAAGAAAAAACATCCCCTGCTCAAAGTGGATTTGAATACATAACTTCTGGGCTGACAGGCAAATGTCTTAGCTGCTACACTTACTTCGTATATAGTACACATAATACTGGTGTGGGGTCTGAGGCCCCATTGTTGGGGGGGGGGGGGCACTGCCTCTGTAACAAGCATATTGTAAAAGGCAACTAATTAAAAGTTTATTGGCGTGAGATATGTTGAGCTGAAAATTACAATTATCGCAGCCTAGCAGTAAACCACAACATACCAGTCACCCTTTTTACAGGCAAACGCAGAAGCAGAAGAATACAGAGTATTGAAACATTTTACTTCCCTTGACATTTTCTGATTTATTTATTCTTTAAATGGGGGAGGAAAAGGGAGGGGGGGGGGGTGGGGGCGTGGGTTCCTCATAAATAACACATATGTTCCCTGTGTTTCTCCGGAGATCCCATTATGGGGAAGGCACGCTTAAACACACTGCATCCCCAACAAGCACATCGTAAGAGTTGACTAATTGGGGAGGGGAGCTTCTTCAAAGTCAGAGTGCGTCTGCCTGAGAGGCATACAGATAACCAAGGTCTGTAAAACGCATGCACACCCAAAACTCAGGTCCTGGAACAAAGCCAAAGTCTAGAAATGGACGAACCACCAGGTCTTTCTGCTGGGGTTTTCAGCCAGTTAACGCAAACAACAGCCTAGCACATGTGTAAACATCACTTACCAGTCTGTTACTATTTCTAGTTTATTTTGTGATTATACACTGTTAATTTAAAAAAAAAAATAGAAAACATGTACATATTGTGTTTTTTCTGTTCTTTTTTATTTTAAATTTCAGTTTTGATTCTTGTTTTTTTTTTGTACTAGCTCATTTACGCATCACATATTTTTAATCTTCCCATAATAACTTGTAGATGTTTCTGTACCTTTTGTATTTCCCTGCACTGACAGGACAATTTTGAAATTCTAAATGGGTCATTCTGAATAAGTTAATGATATTTAGTTACCAGGAAAGACATTAAAATAAAAGGGTGGTCACAAAAGTACTTAATAAATGTGACTCATTTGCTGGTGGTCCTATAAATAATTTAACCTCTTTGCCACGAGAAGTATAAATCTGGTCACTTCCGGTTGTGCCAAAGCCCATAAATGCCATGTCTTTGGCGACCTGTTATCAAAAAGCTTAGTTAATTTTGATTGGTCCATTGTAAGTGAGGGCGGTTTATATTAGACCAGGATATGAATATAGTAAGTAACAAGGGGGTTTCCTTGTGACTCCAATGGATTTTTAAAAGCCAAGTTGATATAAAAATGTTGCCTGTAAACCTCATTGATAGAGGTCAGGGTATGAGTCACCTGATGCATTTTTGTTTTTCACACCCCGGAGAATTATTCTGTTGAATTATTTGTCCGTTGGATACTTCACTCTCTTAATGTTTTTTGATTACCCCTTTATATCTTTTTATTTTGAAGGAAAAATAAATGTAGATAAATACATTTTCTTTTTAAATATATAAGTGTCTTGTGTAAGGACCCTTTTCTACGCCTTCCAGTGTTTTGGGCATATAGGGCTAGACCTATATTTTATAGACCAATTGGCACTTGCTGGGTTATGTTGTCAGCATCATGCCGGCCGCCTTTACTGTCCAGGACTTTACCTAGTACTCACTCAAGGCTGGGTCGCCTTAGTAGAAAAGGTAGTACAGCACTCAGTTGGCACTTGTACCCATTCCTCACCAGGTTCTATGTCCTCAAGTAAACACATCTTCCTCCATGTTATCTTTATATCGTTTATCTTTAATTTGAATACTCTTCTCTGTATAAGGGCACATTTTTGTTTCTCTCCCCGTGACTGAAGTAGTTAAGAACCGATACATTTAAGAGGTAGAATGGCAGTGCTTTGGTCTTAATGTTGCCCAGACATCATTAAATGTACCAGCCGAGCAGTATTGTAAAGATATCCCATAATATTTGTTGTAAAGGTATCCCAAAATATTTATTGTATTGGTCTTATATCTCGGTAGTAATGTCTTTCAGAGAACACATTTTGGTTTTAAAACATTTGATAAACAGTAAATCTTTGTCAGCTGACGTTAGAATTAGAGTTTTGAAGGGCTATTCATTGCCCCATGTGGTTTACGGCACCCTATTGTGGGGAAAACAAGAATAGACCCGCTGCCTTGCCAACAAGCATGTTGTAAAGAGTCAGCTAATTGGGGACTTCCTTCGAAGTTGGCATTCATCTGCCTAAGCGGTAAGGAACAGTCAGCTGCACACAAATAAACTAGTAAAATGGATGTACACGCAAAACTCAGGCCCTGGCTCAAAGCTAAAGTCTAAAAAAATGAACAACCAAGACTTTCCACCAGAGCTTATAGCCGGTGAACAAAGAAGAAGAAGGATCGGTCATGATGTAAGAAAGTGGATCATGGATAAAGTTAGTCAGTAGGATTAACTACACTGTAAGAAGATGATGGCTGCCTTTTGCATTTACTTTTGCCTGTGTGAGCTTCCAGAGTTTGGCGGGACTAATATGTTTTTCACTAGTTTTTCAAATGGGATAGTGAAGGTCATTTTGTGTGATTTCCACTGACACAGAACAGAACAGTTATGGAATGACCCGTCTGGAGGGAAGTCAGAACCTTCACTCAAGGCACACTATAAGAAGAAGATGGACCAAGAGGAGGGAACTAAGAAAGGAATAAACCGGAAGTAATAAGACTTAACACTACTAATAAACTACAAACATTCATTAACTGGTCATTGCATTGAGTGGTATGATAAAATCATTCATGTCGAGTTTTGGGACGTATTTAAATATTTGGCATGTGAGACAAGAAGTGAGGAAAAGATGCACATGCTGGACAGGACACATATTGAGAACCGCTGTTGACATTATAGCTAGAATGTCTTTACACTTGAACCCACAGGGGCATATAAGTAAAGGCATACCCCCCCCCTCTTCCCCCCCCCCCCCAAAAAAAAAACACATGCAGAAGAGAGATAGAGTGAAATAAAAAAATGTTTAAATGGAGGGGACATGGGGGGAGCTGCATGCAATGGAAGGGATAGGGCAACTTGATGTGAGTTTGTTAAGGGCCAAAATTCCATTTAGGGATAAGGGGTAAATGATGAAGACATATACTGGCCCGTGTTATTATTTTCTATTTCCTGGTTCTCTTAGATTATTTGTTGCCACACATTTGCTTATCTTTTGGTGTTGACTTGTCATATGCCAAATTTTTACTTGTAAAATGCCAGATTAGTGCTTGTTAAATGCCAAATTAGTACTTGTCAAATGCCAGGTGAGTACTTTGCAGTTTTGTTGTTTTATTTACGTGTATGTAGTTTTATTATAATATTTCATTTTCTTCCTCTGATGAAGGCTTTGTGGCCACAACTTTTATGTAAGCTTATGTAAAATTCACTTATGTAATTGTCCATGCACACACCTCAGTTGTTGCATTTAATTTTATTGTGAATGCTTTTAGCTTTGCCAGCAAATGCTCAGTGAAATCAGATGTCAGCTGAAAGGCACAAACATGGTAGCTCTGCTGTTAACAGTCACAACGCATTTACATCACCTGGGGGAACGGAAAAGGAAGAAAGGATTTACAGTTTATCTTAAAAAGTGCTTTTCTGACCCTATTGTAACTTTTGTTTGCTTTGTTTTGCAGATGAAGAGGTCCCTCGACCGAGAGAGCCCATGCTTGGGGAAGGAGATCTGCCTCCACAAGTTGTTGCTGCGTACGTCTGCTTATACAGTTAATCTTGTATGTTGCAATTTCTCTTAGAGGAAATATATGATGGTAACGTTGCGCCCTATCAGGCGTGTGAGTCAACCAGGCGGCTAAAAATAAGATTATCGATCTTGTTTTCAGCCTTATGGCAAATGTCAGTCAGTCAGTAGCCTGTCCTTTTGCAGAACCATGCTGCCATAACAACCCTCCGGAAAACATCTCGGTCACAGGAAAGATGTTCCACCTCCAGTACACCCATCTGGAGATCTGGCAAACTACCTTCTGCAGGTAGGTAGGTAGGTAGTTGTACCCCACCAAGACATCACACAAGCGATAAACACCCTGTGACACAAAGTGCCACCATGCAGATGAGGATCACCCATGGAGATGTCCCAGAAACCCCTTTTAACCATTAAGCCATATTTATGGCTAGGCAATATCTATGTTCCGGCTATTTCAGGACTCCCGGCAGAAGCCAGGGTGGGGCTTCAAATAACGAAAAATAGCATCCCACATGGGGACAACTGAATATATGAAGCTACTGCAAAACTTGGCAAGAAAGAAATCATAACAGCCATGGGAAATGGGTCACCCAATAATTGATCCCTTACCATGCTAGCAGCAACTACACAAAATGCCTGACACTGTCCCATGTGAAAAGTCAACAGCAGTTCAGGAAAAATTCACACAGCTCACACAGACACAACATGTAGAAGGCATTTGCCAACCAACAACAACAGTCTGCCACCAGAGCTGCAGTCCATAGTTGATGGAAGCAGCAGTCATGACAAACCAGCAAGTACAGACATTACTGCATAAGACATGCCGCCAGTTCTGTGGTAACCAGCCGCTCACCATATTTTTTAATCTGCAGTTCACAACACAAAACTTTGGGAGCGTAGATGAAAAGCATTCCACATGAAAACCTCTTCTTTGTTTATCCATCACAAGTGATGAGGACCACTCTTTCTTTCATCCGTCATGAAACAGCAGTTGAATGTTTGTTAATGTGACGAAAACTTGACTAGCACTATGAATTGGATTAAAGTGAGGAAGAGTTGTGCAATTTTGTCGACCTCACTCTCTCGACTGTATCCATCTGAATCCACAGCTCACATGATTATACCCTGCACTCAACTTAGTAACTAGTAGACGGAATCAGATTTTGCCTTTACCATGCTGACCTGTCCAGTTTTCTACTTGGGGTGAAGTAAAGCTCAAGTTGGCTACCCCATCCCATCAAAGAAACATTATTCATAAAAAGCAGCCAGCTGTGATCAAGTCTGAAAGAATTTTTCTGAAGCATTTCAGTTAAAAAACTCCTATCCTTTCTTCAGTAATTGAGTGAGAGTCAGACAAATGAGTCAGATACATACAAATGTGTCAGATCTGTAAAATGGATGCACACGCAACACTCAGGTTCTGGAACAGGACTGAAGTCCAGAAGTGAATAAACAACCAGAACTTTCTGCCAGATTTTACAACTGGTGAACGCAAAGAAGAAGAAGTAAGAGTCCTTGTGCGAGTTAATTGAGGGTTTATGCACCATTGGGAGACAGAGGGCTGAAGAAAGCTAAGGCACAAACGGGGGGGGGTTGGAATTTCAATTTTTTTGGTAGGTCACACAGGGAGGTCATCAATGACTAGATGATTGCCTGCCCACTTGGAGATCTAGAGTTGGATTTTTAATAATTGACCTTGGCTTCCTGGTCCACGCAGTCACAAATTGGAAGCACAATATGTCCTGGGAGTTAAAGGCAACCGTTGTGATGTTGACCACATCCGATGGCATCATGTCTTCATCTGCCCGATGCATGTAAAAATGGAAGCTTTACTTACTTGCGGGATGGTTATCATCCCATTGCATAAACTCAACAAAAATTATAATTTAGGTATACATATACTAGAACTTGCCTGACCATTTATGTTTCTAATGTTGTACAGTTTCAGAACTTCTTTTGATCTGTTGTTTAAAACTTTCTGAGCTTGTAAGCGTGTTATGTAAGCATGTTGTTAATCTTTGACTTCCGTGGTCATGCTGATCACCTAGTTTCCATGGTGATAACCTTGTTATTTTAAAATTCAATTGGTTAGATTACCATCTATATTTCTAATGTTAGACAGTTTCAGAACATTTTTTTTATTTACTGTTTAAAATTTCCTGACTTGTAAGCGCATTATGTAAACAAAAGGATCATGTTGTTAATTTACACTTCTGTAGTCATGGTGATCACATGGTTGCTGTAGTGATAACCTGGTTACTTTAAAATTTCCATTGGTTAGAGATGTACAGTGTAACAAGAGACATTTTGATATTTCAGTTACAAGGATTCATTTTTTGCGCTTCGTAATATGTTGATGTAAATTCTGTAGTAGCGAACATGATGAGACATCAATGAAATGTGCAAGGCAGTCAGTCAGTCAGCAAATCCTTAACAGAACGTCGCTCTCTTCGCGGCACACCTGAAAGTCTCTCATTCTCCAGCCCTGTTTGCTTTTGCAGCCAGTGCATTCACCTTCTGGCTCGCCTTCTGGGAACTGCACCCTCCATCACCATTCTCTCCAGTCCACTGTAGCGCTTGACATATCACCATTCTCTCCAGTCCACTGTAGCGCTTGACTTATCACCATTCTCTCCAGTCCACTGTAGCGCTTGACTTATCACCATTCTCTCCAGTCCACTGTGGCGCTTGACTTATCACCATTCTCTCCAGTCTACTGTAGCGCTTGACTTATCACCATTCTCTCCAGTCCACTGTAGCGCTTGACTTATCACCATTCTCTCCAGTCCACTGTAGCGCTTGACTTATCACCATTCTCTCCAGTCCACTGTGGCGCTTGACTTATCACCATTCTCTCCAGTCTACTGTAGCGCTTGACATATCACCATTCTCTCCAGTCCACTGTAGCGCTTGACTTATCACCATTCTCTCCAGTCCACTGTAGCGCTTGACTTATCACCATTCTCTCCAGTCCACTGTAGCGCTTGACTTATCACCATTCTCTCCAGTCCACTGTAGCGCTTGACTTATCACCATTGTCTCCAGTCCAATGTAGCGCTTGACTTTCACCATTCTCTCCAGTCCACTGTAGCGCTTGACTTATCACCATTCTCTCCAGTCCACTGTAGCGCTTGACTTATCACCATTCTCTCCAGTCCACTGTAACGCTTGACTTATCACCATTCTCTCCAGTCAACTGTAGCGCTTAACTTATCACCATTCTCTCCAGTCCACTGTAGCGCTTGACATATCACCATCCTCTCCAGTCCACTGTAGCGCTTGACATATCACCATTCTCTCCAGTCTACTGTAGCGCTTGACTTATCACCATTCTCTCCAGTCCACTGTAGCGCTTGACTTATCACCATTCTCTCCAGTCCACTGTAGCGCTTGACTTATCACCATTCTCTCCAGTCCACTGTGGCGCTTGACTTATCACCATTCTCTCCAGTCTACTGTAGCGCTTGACATATCACCATTCTCTCCAGTCCACTGTAGCGCTTGACTTATCACCATTCTCTCCAGTCCACTGTAGCGCTTGACTTATCACCATTCTCTCCAGTCCACTGTAGCGCTTGACTTATCACCATTCTCTCCAGTCCACTGTAGCGCTTGACTTATCACCATTGTCTCCAGTCCACTGTAGCGCTTGACTTTCACCATTCTCTCCAGTCCACTGTAGCGCTTGACTTATCACCATTCTCTCCAGTCCACTGTAGCGCTTGACTTATCACCATTCTCTCCAGTCCACTGTAACGCTTGACTTATCACCATTCTCTCCAGTCAACTGTAGCGCTTAACTTATCACCATTCTCTCCAGTCCACTGTAGCGCTTGACATATCACCATCCTCTCCAGTCCACTGTAGCGCTTGACATATCACCATTCTCTCCAGTCCACTGTAGCGCTTGACATATCACCATTCTCTCCAGTCCACTGTAGCGCTTGACTTATCACCATTCTCTCCAGTCCACTGTAGCGCTTGACTTATCACCATTCTCTCCAGTCCACTGTGGCGCTTGACTTATCACCATTCTCTCCAGTCTACTGTAGTGCTTGACTTATCACCATTCTCTCCAGTCCACTGTAGCGCTTGACTTATCACCATTCTCTCCAGTCCACTGTAGCGCTTGACTTATCACCATTCTCTCCAGTCCACTGTGGCGCTTGACTTATCACCATTCTCTCCAGTCTACTGTAGCGCTTGACTTATCACCATTCTCTCCAGTCCACTGTAGCGCTTGACTTATCACCATTCTCTCCAGTCCACTGTAGCGCTTGACTTATCACCATTCTCTCCAGTCCACTGTGGCGCTTGACTTATCACCATTCTCTCCAGTCTACTGTAGCGCTTGACATATCACCATTCTCTCCAGTCCAATGTAGCGCTTGACTTATCACCATTCTCTCCAGTCCACTGTAGCGCTTGACTTATCACCATTCTCTCCAGTCCACTGTAGCGCTTGACTTATCACCATTCTCTCCAGTCCACTGTAGCGCTTGACATATCACCATTCTCTCCAGTCCACTGTAGCGCTTGACTTATCACCATTCTCTCCAGTCCACTGTAGCGCTTGACTTATCACCATTGTCTCCAGTCCACTGTAGCGCTTGACTTATCACCATTGTCTCCAGTCCACTGTAGCGCTTGACTTATCACCATTCTCTCCAGTCCACTGTAGCGCTTGACTTATCACCATTCTCTCCAGTCCACTGTAACGCTTGACTTATCACCATTCTCTCCAGTCAACTGTAGCGCTTGACTTATCACCATTCTCTCCAGTCCACTGTAGTGCTTGACTTATCACCATTTTCTCCAATCCACTGTAGCGCTTGACTTATCACCATTCTCTCCAGTCCACTGTAGCGCTTGACTTATCACCATTATCTCCAGTCCACTGTAGCGCTTGACTTATCACCATTATCTCCAGTCCACTGTAGCGCTTGACATATCACCATTCTCTCCAGTCCACTGTAGCGCTTGACTTATCACCATTCTCTCCAGTCCACTGTAGCGCTTGACTTATCACTATTCTCTCCAGTCCACTGTAGCGCTTGACATATCACCATTCTCTCCAGTCCACTGTAGCGCTTGACTTATCACCATTCTCTCCAGTCCACTGTAGCGCTTGACTTATCACCATTCTCTCCAGTCCACTGTAGCGCTTGACTTATCACCATTCTCTCCAGTCCACTGTAGCGCTTGACTTATCACCATTCTCTCTAGTCCACTGTAGCGCTTGACTTATCACTATTCTCTCCAGTCCACTGTAGCGCTTGAAGTATCCTAATTACCTCACATTTTCGAAGAGAATGCTGTTAACGAGCCAGTTTTCCTTGATGTTCAGGTTATGTGGGATATTGACATGCCAAGCAAGAAATTGTGCAATAAATTGTGTGTGTCTTTATTATTTCAAGATGTATTCACTGGCTTTAAACTCCGGCAGACAATTCTGGTTGTTCATCCAACTCTGGACTTTATTGTTGCAGAACCTGAGTGTTGCCTGCACATCTGTTTTACATATCTGGCTTTGTGTGCATACTGTTTGTTCTTTGCCTCTCGGGCAGATGCATTCCAACTTCAAAGAAAACCCCCAGTTAGTCGACTCTTAGAACATGCTTGTGCTGGAGGCAGTGGGTCTATTGGTTCCCCCCCCCCCCCCCCCCCCCCCCCCCTGGAACCCACATGTGGAACTTATGGATGTGAGTCAAAGACTCTTACTCATTGAAGAAAAGAAATCTGAGCTTTTGAACTGAAATGCTACAGAAACATTCTTAGAATACCACGGACCAAGAAGAAGAAAAACACCAACATCCTACATGATCTGAGCATCAAGGAGAATTGGCTCATAAACAGCATCCTGTGTAGAAAGCTGCAATGTTGTCGCCATGTTTCCTGTCATGGTGGCTTGGTGAGAACGGTGATGGAGGATACAGTTTCTGAAAAACAAGGCAGACTTCCATGCAAATAGATACAAGACACTGACTTGCATTGGCTATGAAAGCACAAAGGCCTGGAGAACTTGATAGAGAGAGAGACACTTTCAGACATGCCACGAAGAAAGCAAAGTTCTGTAAAGGACCAGCTGATTGATCATGATCTAATCTCGAATGTTTGGTATTCCCTCAAATCATTTTCATGTGTTTTTTTCTGTGCAGACGCCAGTTGGGCAGACCCTCAAGTGCTAGGCCAGCCCCGCCTCGACCGAAGCAAGAAACTCTAGAATCGGAGCCAGCCATGAGGTATATGTGCATGTCTTCTCTGTGGAGCTGCAGTCAGATCTATTTTTTAAAAGAAACAGATTTATAAGTAAAGTGAGGACTTCTGGTGTAGAAATGGTGGTGACAAGATGCTTTTGGAGCGACGTGCGATATTATTACAATTTACACTTTATCCGTGTATTTTTTTCAAAAACAAAGAGCCTTAATTATAAATTCATTTGTGATTGATATTTTATTATTTGTGGAAACTAAGTGTTCTCTGGTTTAGGGGTGTTATGATGAAATTAATTCTGACAAACAGCAGCGGTGGCTGTCGTGTCCTAATGTCAATAATGTAGGCGTAAGAGCCATGCTCCTATAATAAATATGCGAGTCCACAGGTAAGACACCAGCTTACCCAAGCAAAATAAGGTGCTGAAGTCGGAAGCAACCAGCTTGAAGGCGCACCACAGCAATCAGAAGGCCACGTACAAATGCAGTAGGAAATATTTCTTTTTCTGCAAACAAGTATGATGTGACCCACCCACGTACACGTGGTATGTCTTACCGGCATACATCTAGTAACGGGGTCCAGCTGCAAATACTAGAAGTCACCCTCAAATGCCTCATAGAACCAGAAGAGCAGAAAATACAGCTAGTCTTAAAATAATGCACTGGAACACGGAGGCAGTAAATACTAAGAAATTAGAACTAGAACACACCTTGACGAAGAGCAGATACACATTTGGTGCCTTTAAGAAACCTGTCTCAAACAAGACATTGCCTTCAAGATCAGAGGCTACCAGTGTTTCCGATCTGACCGAAAGGACAGGAGAAAAGATGGAATTCTCACCCTTGTCAAAAATAGCATCCTTGCGTGTCAAATTGGAACATACATGGAAGGTGCTGAGTATCAAACTCTTCAACTCAAGACAATAAATACAGATTTAAATCTGATCAACTATTACTGTCCGAGCGACCAGTAATAGTAAATAAAAGAATTATCATTTCTGGGGATTTTAATAATTGTATAAATCAGTCACTGCTTGATGAATGATGTGGTCAACATTATGCTGACTGCATTTACTTCCCTGGACATTTTCTGGTACCCATTTTAGACAAGGTTCACATGTGAGCCAGGGCCAGTTTTCTTTAACAAATCCTCATGCTGAGGATTCGAACTCAAGACCTCCTGGCTGATGGCAGATCATCTAGCTATTGTAATGTGGTGCCTTCCTGCATGCTTGTGGCCAGGGACCATGTTAGACACCAGCCCAGTGGCACAACTCTGCTGTTCTGCAGGATTGAAAGAGGCATATTTACTGTTTCAAATGCAGCTCAGAAAGGTATGTCTGTGGATTGATAAAGTCTTATGTGGGTTCCCGGACCCCATTGTGGGGACAACAAAAATAGACCCACTGCCTCCCCAAAAATACATGTCGAATTAGTCGACTAATGGGAGGCTTCCTTCGTAGTCAGAGTGCATCTGCCTGAGTGGCAAGGAACAACCAACTGCACACAAATAAGCCAGTAAAATGGATGTGCACACATCAGGCCCTGGCACAAAGCCAAAGTCCGAATGGATGAAAAACCAGGACTTTCTGCTGGAGCTTACAGCTGGTGAGCAGAGAAGAAGAAAAGGGGGACTGATAAAGCAGCACTTGATGACGGACTTATGGAAGCCAGCAGGACCTGCAGAAGACAGTACAGTTCATGCAGACAAGAACATTACTCATATAGACTGCTTCCAAATGAATAAAAAGAAGAAAGGTACTGATTTAAATACCATCAAATGATATCAGGTTAAATGATAAGTAGCACTAGGTCATCATCAAGTGCCTTGCCAGCTGGCCTAAGTGTTCATGTATCTCCACAGATCTCGGTCTTTGGTGTTCTGGATCAGTTCCACTGATGATATTCCTCCATGCCACTGTCTTAGGCCATCCACCATTATTTCTCTTGGTCTGCCTCTGCTTTTTCTACCAGTGATCTTTCCAGTTGTCACGATATTTTCTAGTGCTCCTTTTATCATCATATGACTAAAGAACTTTTTTGTCTCTTTCTCTTTGTTGTATATAATGTTCTACTTTCATTAGCCATTTCCAGGCAGTCATTGTTAGTTATCCTGGCAGTCCAAGGTATTCGCAACATTCTTCTCAAAAACCACATCTCAGTTTGTCTCTAAACTCTTCTGAATTTGCTTGCTCACATTGAAAGATTCACTGCCATACAACAGAACTAGTTAGCTTCACAAAATCATGAATGTTGTGACTAGAAAACCTTCTGTTGTGACTAGAAAACCTTCTGTTGTGACTAGAAAACCTTCTGTTGTGACTAGAAAACCTTCTGTTGTGACTAGAAAACCTTCTGTTGTGACTAGAAAACCTTCTGTTGTGACTAGAAAACCTTCTGTTGTGACTAGAAAACCTTCTGTTGTGACTAGAAAACCTTCTGTTGTGACTAGAAAACCTTCTGTTGTGACTAGAAAACCTTCTGTTGTGACTAGAAAACCCTCATCAGCATGTTAACATAAACAGACGATGTTTCATTGTTTAAACTAAACATGCACAGTATCACACATCTGTATGTCTTCTTCTTCATCTTAGCGTTCACTGGTTGCAAACTGCAATGGAAAGTTTTGGTTCTTTGTCCACTTCTGCACCTTGCTCTTGTTCTAGAAAAAACTTAGTTCTTATGTATACGTGTTTTGTAGATCTGGCTCAATAGTATGCCGACTGATGGGTCCTTGCCTCTCAGGCAGATGCAACTGGACTTGGAAGAAAGCATCATTATTAGTCACCTCTTCTAGCATGCTTGTTAGGGGGGGCAGTGGGTCTGTCCCACCCCCCACCCCCTCACCCCTCCCTCCCAATAGGGCCCTAGAACCCACATGAGGACCTTATCTTTATGTAAGTTGAGGTGCGTCAGAAATATCCATAACACATCTGAACAGAAGAAACTCTAAGAAGTGTATCTTTAATTATTTTCACGTTTATGATTAATTAGGCTTGGCTCAGGTCAACCAGCTGTTGTGATAGCTGATAATGATGATGATGATGATGACGACAACTTCCTGGTGCAAGAAACAGCGCCCCCTCCACCTGATCCAGATCTTGTGAGTGCCATCTCTCATCTTTGATCCATAGACCTGTGACTTATCCATTCCTCCCTACTAACATCTCTCATCTTTGATCCATAGACCTGTGACTTATCCATTCCTCTTTACTAACATCTCTCTTATTTGATCCATGGACCTGTGACTTATCCATTCCTCCTTACTAACATCTCTCTTTTTTGATCCATAGACCTGTGACTTATCCATTCCTCCCTACAAACATCTCTCTTCTTTGATCCATAGATCTGTGACCTATCCATTCCTCCTTACTAACATCTCTCTTTTTTGATCCAAAAACCTGTGACTGGGGATTATAACGCCACGGCCGAATTGCGAACTTCTGCCGACTTACACCACCGTCAAAAAATGTCCCCCACGCCGCTCACGCGAAGTGCGCAATTGACACGTGACTGAGGCCCTGTAAGGGCATATTACCCGCCTTGATAATTTAGGACCATTATTTTGAGGATAGCCGAGATTTGCTGTGTAAACCAAATGACTTTGTTGAAGCCATGGTGAGGTCAAATTATCCCCATAGCCTCTGTGATAGAGGTCACAAGATCACAGCATGAGTCATCCGGTACATTTTGCCGGGAAATGTATTCAATTTAATACTTCACTCTGTTTGATTTATTGATTATTCCTTTCTAAATCTGTACATTTTTGGGAACATTTTTTTAAAATAAACTTATTAGTGACCTCTCCACCGAAAATGTTGTCCGTTTGGCCCTGAAAAACTTTTTAAAAAATAGGTCATGACTAGAATTACAGAAAAAATCCATTAAAAAAAAAAAAAACAATTTTTACACAGGTCACTAATAGATTCATTAAAACTGTATTTATTCACATTTTAAATTAGAAATTCCCATAGGTTTTTGCCCCTTTTTTTTAGTGTTTGGGGCAAAAGAATTAGAAAGTAAAAGAAATCCTTTAGTAAATACAGTTAGGTTTGGACATATTTTTGTTCTTAATCTGATAAACTATTAGCATGTTCCTTTCGTCCTTGCCTTTCTTTTCCCGTGACATGTTTGCTTATTATTCTTTCCCTCCAGTCTGCTATAGGATTGACTTGAAACATGACACAGGAATATTCTGCATCGTTGTCATCCTGTTATGCATGTCACACATGGCTCATATCTAGTCCTTCCCTTCTGTCGTGTGCAGCTCTCTTGGTGTCATGCATGGAATCCAGCCAGTCTTTTGGCCTGTCTCTTCCACCTTCATCTCGGAGGCTCTCTTGTACATCCTTGTTTCCTCTGTCCATTTGTTTTCCATTTCAATGCCTGTTTGGTGATCTCCTCATGATGTGCCCAGTACATTGCCATCTTCTTTGTCTTTTAATGATGATAACATTGACTTTGTGCTGTATTCACTGTGTTGAGTGTACACACAAATCACATGTCTTCAGTATTTATAGATATATTTTGTTTGTATTTTTGCAGTCACAGCTCAAACCACTGGATGATTCAGATACCACACATGGTAAGTCTGCATTTCTTCTTCTTTTTCTTCTTCTTCTTCTTCTTCTTCTTCTTCTTCATTATAATCTTCTTCGTCTTCTTCTTCTTGATCTACTTCTGGTCTTATATCTCTTTCCAGTCTTGGTATATTGCCTTGTTTGATATAGAATCACATGACTTCATGTGTGGGCTCCAGGTCCAGGGCTTTTTTGTGTGTGTGGGGGGGGGGGGGGGGGGGAGAAAGCCCAAGTCACCCCCTAACTAGCATGTCAGTCGACTAATTAGGGATGTTTTCTCTAAAGTCAGGAGTTGGTCTGCCTAAGGGGTGAGAAATCAGCAGTCTGCATACAAATAAGCCAGATCTGTGAAATGGATGTGCATTCAACTCAACTTCCAGATCAAATCTAAAGTCCAGAGGTTAATGAACAACCAGAACTTTCTGCCAGATTTTACAGCCAGTGAGTTTTAAGAAGAAGACAGAAGAATCATAAGATGTCCTTACTAAATGGACGATATATTTCACAGCTTTCTTAAATGTGTCTTTCAGGTGCTCTTGTTCAGAAGATGTTGGAGTCAAAGAAGGAAGTCGAGAAAGGAACTAAGAAGACAGAAATTGTAAGCCAATCTTCATCGTATTTTTCTTTTTCTTCTTCTTTTTTTCTTTGTTTGCTGGCTGTAAGCTCTGACAGAGAAAGTCTGGTTGTTGGTCCATTTAGACTTTGGCTTTGTGCCAGGGCCTGAGTTTTGCCTGTGCATTCATTTTACTGACTTTTTTATGTGCAGGTAATCAGGTAATTGCAGTTTCAGCTTCAAAGCCAACGGGTCAGCCTATAATTGCTACGTTCTTGTTCTAACGAAAACACTGCAGAATGTCATCACTGTCCCTTGTGGAAAAATTGACAGATTGCAGTCTCAGCATATCTACTAGCATATACACACATTAGATGCTTAAGGCAGCCATCAACGGTTTTTTTTTTTTTTTTTGGCGTTTACTGGCTTTAAACTCCAGCGGAAGGTTGTGGCTATTCATCCACTTCTTAACTTGAGTTTTATTCCAGAATCTGAGTGGTGCGTGCACATCTGTTTTACAGATCTGACTTATTTGTACTCATATTGTTGGTTCCTTGCCTCTCAGGCAGATGCACTCAAACTTCAAAGTTGGGGAGGCAGTGGGTCTGTTCTTGTTTCCCCCACAATGAGGCCCTGGAACCCACACAGGGACCATCAGAAGTGATAACACAAGAAGTCCAACACCATAAATACAGTTTATTATCGGTGGAAGTAGCAGTTACAGACAGAACAGAAATTGTAAGGCAGTTATCACACAAGGCACCACTATTTCTGGATCAGAGGCCACTCGCTATTTTCTGAATCTACATGTTGATGGACTGTGTTTGTAAACTATTGCTGTGTTTGTTATTCGACCTGTGCTCGGTTAATGTAAATTTCTCGTCAAAGCTGACTGCCAAAGGTGGAGAGAGCTGATCAGACAGTCAACAAAAACTAGTGACCTAACAAACGCAATGTTACAAGATGATGATGAATTTTGGAAGACTTTTCTTAACGCGGGCGGGTCTTGCTGGTCACACTCTCCATTGCCATGGGTTCTGATTCCCCTGCCTCACAAAAACAGAACACAACCCTATTGTCTGGAAAATGGATAGCTGTCAGCAGCACTTGACACATCCAGTTTGAGCTGACATTAATTTGTAAACTTTAGCGAAATGCTTGTTTAGGGGTTGGGAACACAGTTTGTAATTCTGAAATACCTTGCTCAGTTCAGCTGCAGGCAGTTTGGCAGCTGACCACTTTGCCTTGGTTTAAACATGAGTATGGAGTGGCAACTGTTTGGCAACCAGTAGCAAATTGCCAGTAGAACTACAAATAGCCAAAAAATGATGGGACTGGTTTGCGACATTCTGTCAGCTAATTTGTTTAGGGGCAGCCCCCCTCTCAGATAGGGCCTTGGAACCCACACCTAAGATGTCTGCATATATCAGCTTTTAAATGACATTTGTTTCTCTCAGTTCGAGTGCATCTGCCTCGTTGAGTGTTGTAGAGCAAACAGTCTGCACACAGATAAGCCAGATCTGTAAAATGGATGTGCTTGTAAAACTCAAAGTTCTGGAACAAGACCAAATTCCAGAAGTGGACGAACAACCAGAGCTTACCACTGGAGTTTACAGCTGGTGGTTCTGACTTTGACAGAAACAGCTCTAATTAGTTGCCTTGTATGACATGCTTGCTAAGGGGGCAGTGGGTCTCCCTCCCCCTCCCCCAATGGGGCCCCGGAATCCATACAGGAACCATTCATTGTCTGTTATGGGGCTGCGTGGTCTCGAGGCATGGCTTCTGCCTCAAGTGCTGGAGGTCCCAGGTTCAGGCCCCGCTGAAGGCTGGGATTTTTTCATGTGGACTTCTAGTAATTTCTCCTGGTCTCTGGGTAGTAAGATCGGACGCCGTGTGTATGGTTGCGCACGTAAAAAATCCCTTGGCGGTTGGAAATCGAAAAAAACGGCGCTGCCCAGGGCAAAAATTTGGAGTTAAAAATCTACTCAAAGTATTTCAGGATCCTTGCTGGTGTTACCGAGTTCTTACACTGCGCTGAGATTCTTCGGACTCAGACTTGAGTCAGAAGAGAACGGAGCACTTATGGGTTACTACTCTTGTGTCATGATGTTGATTCATCGTCTAAACCCAAACCTAATTGTCTGTTGTGTAGTTTTAATTGGCAATTTTACATTTAGCAGTTTGCCATTGCTTTCTGAGCAATACAGTGCTCATCCGTTTGTGAAAATCAACACAAATAATTAAAAATAAATATTATTCTAATATGTTTTTTTCCATAGGAAAGACCTCTAGTTTCTGATGCTCAGCGCAGAAAACAGCGCGAGATTGTGCAAAAGGAAGTTGATAAACTTCGTCTGAGCATACAAAATCTCACAAGAAGTGCTAACCCTCTTGGGAAGGTATTTTTGTCCTCTTTGTTTGTTTGTTTCTTTGTATTGATTCATTCAGAGCCAAGCAACTCACCATCTTTGGGTTTTACTTACATTATCCATTTTCTTAATACTGTTCTCACCCCGAGAAACCACAAACTGACACTTCCAGCTGGTACCATTTACCCTTAAAAGTCGCTATAGAGACATGTTAATGAGATGTCTAGCCAACAGAATTCGTTGCATCTGCATCTGTGCAAACTTTCACTGTGACAAGGGATGACTAATATTACTACAGTTAGAATTTAGAGGCGATTCTGTAACAAAAATGGCTTTATTGCTGAAGTTGCCGATATCTTGTTTTTCCCATTGACTACCGTGATTACCAGGTAACAGGTCCAGGTGTCTCACTATAATTAATATACATGCTTCCCAAGAGATGCAAGTCAGCGAATTCTGTGCTTCATTCCTTTTTATTTAATTAGTCCCCTTCCTGTTGTATTTGGTTGGGGGGGGGGGGGGTGATAAATTTATTTTGGAAAAACGGGGGTGGGGGGGGGGGGATGCTTGGGTGTATGACATTATGAAATAGTTGTTTTTCTAAGATTTTTCCCCCTAAATATTCTAAAAATGGAAGTTACAAGAGCTTGGCTGTCTTTTCTAGGTCGCTGGGGGGGGGGGGGGGGGGGGGGGGGTCAACTCCTCATGCCACATTCATATGTTACACATACCCACTGTGCTTTAATTGTAACTTTAACTCCTCTGTAAACATGTTATTATTTTGATTAATTCTGACCCAGACATTTTTTACTATTGTATGGGCTCCATGGCCCATTGTGTGTGTGTGGGTGGGAAGGGGGGGATGAGAATAGACACATTGTCCCCCTAAAAGCATGTTGTAAAAGTTGGTGTTTCCTGAAGTCAGAGTGCATCTGACTAAGAGGTGAGGAACCGACACTCTGCATACAGTTGAGCCAGATCTGTAAAAGAGAGGTGCATGCAAAACTCAAGCTATGGAACAAGACTGAAGTCGAGAAGTTGACAAACGACTAGAACTATCCACCAAAGTTTACAGCTGGTGAACGCTAAGAAATAGAGGGAGATAACCAGATATTGTTTTTTTAATTAAAGTAGAAGCTTTCAGGAAGAGGATGGGCTCAATTATATCTGCCTGGTTCTGAAAGAAATAATGTACCAAGAATTACACTTTTCCTGGCTATTCCCCTCACCTGTCTCAGGTTATATTCCCTGCGACTGCCTTTCATATGGCTTATTCTAGTAAAGAATGAATGAGTGAATGAATGAATGAATCAAGAATTAACAGCACCAATCAGGACATTCCCACACATGCTCCGTCCCCTTCTTCAGTAGCCCACAGAGAGTTGACATGCTAATAGTACCAGTTGCAATATGATGAAAAGTCTGCTTCTTGTAAGTAAATCTTTAGAAATGACAGTTATTTTTCTTTATCTCTGTGCTTGTTTGTTTGAAAGGGGGAAAAGTTTAATCACATTCAACCAGCTTATAATAGCTGTCGCTTATAATTGCAATCTTTATATGGTTATCCTTTGTCATTATGGTACTTCCTGAATTGGGGCATTTCTTTTGCATTGCTGTTTTTTGGCCATTCAGCATAAACTCTTGATGTCAAACCGGGTGCTTCTCATCCATATCTCCATAACATTAAAGTTAAAAATTGTAAGTTTGATATTAGCTTTGATTTCCTTTGACTTTCACAGATTTCCTAGTGGTTTAAACCACAGTCAATTCTAGTTAAGGCCATACAGCTCAACGGGAATTCCCATTTTTGGGAGGCCGGTCGGTGCTCATCATTGTTACCAAGTAGATTTATACGCAAATTAAACTACAGTTTAATTAATTTGCAACATCTATTATGCAAATTAAACTACAGTTTAATTAATTTGCAACATGTAACATTGAATGAATTATCATTTTGAAGATAAATGATAAAAGAATAATATTAATTTAAAAATTAATTACAAATTAATTAAACTGTTATTTCATTTATGTATAAATCTACTCTGTAACGATGGTGAGCATCGACAGGCCGCGGCCGGCCTTCCAAAATTGGGAGTTCCCATTGAGCTGTACGGCCTTATCTGGAGCTGGTTGTGCTATGAACACTCCTCTTGCCTTTTGTATTTCAGTTTGTATATCTCTGTGAGTTGCATCTTTCTCAACATTGCTGCCTAAATAGATAAATGAGCTCACATCTTGTAGTAGGATTTCTTCCTCTTCTTCTTCAGCATTCCCTGCCCTTGAGGTTTATTGCTGCAGATATCACCCACCTCCATTCATCTCTCTGGTTGGCCTTCTCTTTCCAGTTGGTGACACCAAGTATTTATAGGTCTGTCTGGACATTATTTCTCCATCTTCTTCTTGGTCTGCCTCTGGTCTACGACCATTCATATCCCTGGTGTATACAGTTTTACTTCTCTGTCATCTGACATTCTTTCAGTATGTGCCAACCATTTCAGTCTATTAGCTCTCATGATGCCATTGATCAGTGCTGATTTAAACAGATAATATATTATCTTCAGAAATTACATAATTGTTTGATTTATTGTGATTATCTGTACACATCATTGTAAAAATAACAGGAATAACTTTAAACAAATATAACCAGAAATAATGGGATTAAGGTAATAAATGCAACTTGGACCTGACAGGTGATGGACTATGTGCAAGAAGACATGGACTCCATGCAGCAAGAGCTGGACAAGTGGAGGGCAGAGAATGCCCAACATGCCCTGGAGTTGAAGAGGGAAATGAAGTAAGAACGGTATTCCAGGGGTGTAGTGGGGATAGAGGGATGAATCTTCTTCTTCTTCTCCTTCTCCTTGTTCTTATTCTTCTCTGGCTTCTTTCTCTGCCTCATCTTCTTTGTTCTTATTCTTCCCCTGCATCTTTCTCCTCCCCCTCTTTCTCCTTGTATTCATTCTTCTTCTTGAACTTATTATTTTCCTGCTTCATTCTTCTCCTCCTGCTTTTTCTTCACCTTCTCCCCCTCCTCTTCTTGCTTCAGTTACCTCATTGAAATGTTGGGAGAAGATGTAAGGATTTCCTAATTTTATTTTAAATGGCCAAGTAACATAACAGAAACTAAGGATTACAGGTATCCCAGATGAGATACAGCAAGAGGGACAATTGACATTACAGAGACCTGGTGCAACAGGTATCCCAGATGAAACAGCAGGAGTATTAAGCGACACTCACTCCCCGACCCCCCCACTCCCCCCCAGCTATCATGTCATAAGAGTTGACTAATTTTGTGGCTTCCTCCAAAGTCAGAGTGCAAGGAACCAACAGTGCATACAAAGAGGCCAGATCTGTAAATTGGATGTGCACCAACACTCAAGTCCAGAGATTGATAAACAACCAGAACTTTCTACCGGTGAACACGAAAAAAGAGGAAGAAGAAGACAAGTTAAACTCACAAACATTTATTGTTGTACCAGGCTTTTGTCTGTCACTGTTCGCTGTCATAGTAGCAATCTTCTTCTTCTTCTTCTTCGCGTTCACCAGCTGTACACTCTGGCGGAAAGTTCTGGTTGCTCATCCACTACTGAACGGCAGCCCTGCTCCAGAACCTGAGTGTTGCGTGTGCATCAGTTTTACAGATCTCATTCTCTTGAATACAGACTGTTGGTTCCTTGCCTCTCCGGCAGATGCACTCCGACTTCAAAGGAAGCTTCCCAATTAGTCGACTCTTACGATGTGCTTTTGAGGAGGCAGTGGGTCTATTCTTGTTTTCCCCACAATGGGGCCCCGGAACCCACAGGAGGGATAGTAGCAATGAACAGAGCATTCAGCTTGGATGTAAAAATGCTGTACTAACCTTGTGACTGTCTTTTCTGGCCTGTGGCCTTCTTAATTAAGCTCTACCTCTTAGACATAATTAATGCTAACTAGAAATGTTTCAGAAAGTAATAAAAAATATAGTGTGTGTATCATTACAATGTCCACAGCTCTTCTTCTGTAGCCTTCCCCTATCTGTCAGCTCCCAAAGGAGCATCAGCTCTCAGCTAATGCACACCTAACTATTCTAGAGTTGTTCATAATTAGTAAAAATAAAAGTGACTGGCCAAGTGGTTAGAATGCGTAGCTCATGCGGGAGACCCGAGTTTGATCCTCGATAATGAATGGAGATTTTTTTTTTGGGGGGGGGGGGGGGGGGGGGGTAAAATTCTGTACAATTTGGTAAGCCTGGGCCATGCGGCAAATTCTCAGGCTTGTGATGCTCCCTCTCCCCCCCCCCCCCCCCCCCCCCCCCCCCCCCCCCCCCCCGACCCCCCCCCCCCCCCCCCCCCCCCCCCCCCCCCCCCCCCCCCCCCCCCCCCCCCCCCCCCCCCCCCCCCCCCCCCCCCCCCACAGTCACTGAATGTAGGCAATATAGACAGGTTTTCATAATTTGTTTAATTTTGCAGACTAACCGAAAAGACTGATTACCATGGTTTGTTTTGTAGAATCAAAGGTATCGATACTCACCCCATCAAACTTCCCACAGGCCACAGATACTGTCAGAAACATCGTTAGTGACTTGACCGCATGATTTCCCTGCTGTGCATTATTAACAGTATACATATCTGTCCAATAAACGCACAGTTCCTTCATTCTGTATCCGCATGTGGGCAACGGATAACATCCACTTGCAAAGCGGTGCTAATTAAACTAGTAATAAGGATCAAAACTAGCTGGGAATTCCTTTTTCAATATTCTTTGATTGTCCTTTAAAAAAACAGTGTCACAGATCGGGCCATTGATCCTTTGAGGCAACAGTTGGCCGAACTTGACCAGGCTATCAGTGACCAGCTCGACCGAATAGCGGCTGTGAAGTCCAACATAATCAAGAATGACCAGAAGATACAGAAGATGCTGCAAGGAATCTCCAGCTCATGAAATGCCTGGACCCTGTCTCCAGATCCTATCTCCGGATCATATCGCTTGCTTGTAAATACCTCACAATGAAGTTTCCTTGTACAGAACTTGGTTCTTAATTAATATCCTACCCCAGATGACATCACAGGACAGTCCAACATTTTAAAGGGTAATAAGACTGGGTTTCCCATCTTTCTGATGCTTTTAATGACCCCAAAACATCTAGAACTGGCTCTAACCCCAACCTACCTACGTCCCACGAGACAGTGCAGCCTTGGTCCCAGGAATGCATGCAGCCTATCTGCCACCCCCTGAAATAGTAGACTGTCCCGTGACCTGTGGGTTTCCCCTGTTTAAGGTAGGATATTAATAATGCAGCTAGAACTTTTCTTAGTTATACTGTCTACCATAAGTTACAAGTCCTTGTCTTGTGTACAACTAATTTCATCTGGTAATTTTTATTGCATTGTAGACATCATCTTTGAAATTTAGAAGACGTTTGATTATTGAATACAAATATTTCTGGCTGATTTTAATTGAATTTTTAATTTTTCCCCTCTACAATATTCTTCTTGTCCACCCAGTATATTCGCAATATTTAGCGAATGGGGGCCCATTTTTAATCTTAGAGTAAATATTTAGATTTTTCCCATCCTCATTTACTGGGGTTTGAACATCATGGTCTCCCACATAAGAGACCAGCACTCAGACCACTCTAACAACCGCTCCTTTTATGGTTTTAGCCTGAGCCAGGTTTTGTTACCTTCAACGACTCAAGAGATATAGGATCACATAGAATTTTGAATGTTTATATTGATGTGTCAGATGTTTGTCTTCCTGTTTTGTTGTTCTTAGCGTTCCATGGCAGTAAACTCCTGGAGAGGTCCTGGCTGTAAACTCCTGGAGAGGTCCTGGCTGTCGTCCACTTCGGGACTTTTTATCATGTTCCAGAACTTGAGTTTTGCTTGCACAGAGTCTGGCTTATTTGTATACAGGCTTTTGGTTCCTAGCCTCTCCTGCAGATAGATGCTTATTTGTATACAGGCTGTTGGTTCCTAGCCTCTCCTGCAGATAGATGCTTATTTGTATACAGGCTGTTGGTTCCTAGCCTCTCCTGCAGATAGATGCTTATTTGTATACAGGCTTTTGGTTCCTAGCCTCTCCTGCAGATAGATGCTTATTTGTATACAGGCTTTTGGTTCCTAGCCTCTCCTGCAGATAGATGCTTATTTGTATACAGGCTGTTGGTTCCTAGCCTCTCCTGCAGATAGATGCTTATTTGTATACAGGCTTTTGGTTCCTAGCCTCTCCTGCAGATAGATGCTTATTTGTATACAGGCTTTTGGTTCCTAGCCTCTCCTGCAGATAGATGCACTTTAACTTCGAAGGAAACAACTGTTCTGTCTGTGTTGGAAGGTCATCCTTAGGAACCTGTTTCTAGGATGACCACGGAGAGGTGGGGGCAGGTCTTGACCAGTGTGAGCCTATGTCCTGGCACACCAACACTACATGTGGTGATGTTATGTTATGTTATCACAATCGACGTCACTCCACATTGGGCTTTCCCATGTGGACTCGGTCTTCCGATGCAGCTGCCTCTAATAATTGTTCCCATGTTCTTCTTCTTCTTCTCCTTCTTCTTTCATTCACTTAAAATAGATCATCTATATCTGCAGTTCTGTCTAGAGTATGATCTTCACTGTTGAATTCAATCGGCGACCTGTAAAATTTGGCTTGCACTGGTGTTGTTCATGGCCAAAAGTTTTGCCTTGAGGTGTTATATCTTGGACAGTTCATATGTGAAGCTGGTTATAATGACTCCAATCTCTGCCTTGAGGCCACATAGACCTGATTTACCAGGCTTTACTGCCATATCACGCCTGTGGTAGCGTATCTTTGTGCCCTGGATAATATAAAAACACAGAATCTGTGTTTTTATCAATCAGCATTGTGATGAACTGTGTGCCATATCAGTTTTCTATGACTAATAGTTAGTTAAGCAACCAGTTATCTCTATCGCACAGCTGGCAAGTCCATCTTCAGTATCTCTTTCAGTGTGTTGCAACTGATATCACCAGTTGTATGGTGGTTTACTATTCTTTTTCGGCTACCTGTATAATGTTATTGTAGTCGTCTTAATTTTGCCAATTCACTGTTGTCTCCAAAATCGTCTACTCGCCGATTCAGTGTTGTCTCCCGAATCATCTACTTGTTGATTGAATGTTGTCTCCCGAATCATCTGCTTGTTGATTGAATGTTGTCTCCCGAATCGTCTACTTGTTGATTCAGTGTTGTCTCCCAAATCGTCTACTCGCTGATTCAGTGTTGTCTCCCAAATCGTCTACTTGTTGATTCAGTGTTGTCTCCCAAATCGTCTACTTGTTGATTCAGTGTTATCTCCCAAATCGTCTACTTGTTGATTCAGTGTTGTCTCCCAAATCGTCTACTTGTTGATTCAGTGTTGTCTCTCAAATCGTCTACTTGTTGATTCAGTGTTATCTCCCAAATCGTCTACTTGTTGATTCAGTGTTGTCTCCCAAGTCATCTACTTGTTGATTCAGTGTTGTCTCTCAAATCGTCTACTTGTTGATTCAGTGTTATCTCCCAAATCGTCTACTTGTTGATTCAGTGTTGTCTCCCAAATCGTCTACTTGTTGATTCAGTGTTGTCTCCCAAATCGTCTACTTGTTGATTCAGTGTTGTCTCCCAAATCGTCTACTTGTTGATTCAGTGTTGTCTCCCAAATCGTCTACTTGTTGATTCAGTGTTATCTCCCAAGTCATCTACTTGTTGATTCAGTGTTGTCTCCCAAATTTTCTACTTGTTGATTCAGTGTTGTCTCCCAAATCGTCTACTTGTTGATTCAGTGTTGACTCCCAAATCGTCTACTTGTTGATTCAGTGTTGACTCCCAAATTGTCTACGTGTTGATTCAGTGTTGTCTCCCAAATCGTCTACTTGTTGATTCAGTGTTGTCTCCCAAATCGTCTACTAGTTGATTCAGTGTTGTCTCCCAAATCGTCTACTAGTTGATTCAGTGTTGTCTCCCAAATCGTCTACTTGTTGATTCAGTGTTATCTCCCAAATTGTCTACTAGTTGATTCAGTGTTGTCTCCCAAATCGTCTACTTGTTGATTCAGTGTTGTCTCCCAAATCGTCTACTTGTTGATTCAGTGTTGACTCCCATATCGTCTACTTGTTGATTCAGTGTTGACTCCCAAATTGTCTACGTGTTGATTCAGTGTTGTCTCCCAAATCGTCTACTTGTTGATTCAGTGTTGTCTCCCAAATCGTCTACTAGTTGATTCAGTGTTGTCTCCCAAATCGTCTACTTGTTGATTCAGTGTTGTCTCCCAAATCGTCTACTTGTTGATTCAGTGTTGTCTCTCAAATCGTCTACTTGTTGATTCAGTGTTGTCTCCCAAATCGTCTACTAGTTGATTCAGTGTTGTCTCCCAAATCGTCTACTAGTTGATTCAGTGTTATCTCCCAAGTCATCTACTTGTTGATTCAGTGTTGTCTCTCAAATCGTCTACTTGTTGATTCAGTGTTGTCTCCCAAATCGTCTACTAGTTGATTCAGTGTTGTCTCTCAAATCGTCTACTAGTTGATTCAGTATTGTCTCCCAAATCGTCTACTAGTTGATTCAGTGTTATCTCCCAAGTCATCTACTTGTTGATTCAGTGTTGTCTCCCAAATTTTCTACTTGTTGATTCAGTGTTGACTCCCAAATCGTCTACTTGTTGATTCAGTGTTGACTCCCAAATCGTCTACTTGTTGATTCAGTGTTGTCTCCCAAGTCATCTACTTGTTGATTCAGTGTTGTCTCCCAAATCGTCTACTTGTTGATTCAGTGTTGTCTCTCAAATCGTCTACTTGTTGATTCAGTGTTATCTCCCAAGTCATCTACTTGTTGATTCAGTGTTGTCTCCCAAATCGTCTACTTGTTGATTCAGTGTTATCTCCCAAATCGTCTACTTGTCTGCTTCTTTGAGAGCATTGAGAACATCAGCCTGGTTTATTGCTTGTCCTTTGCCTGCTGTGGCACAATCAGCAAACCAGTCTGCTCGTTCATTCCCTCTGACCCCTGAGTGCCCTGTCACAAAAATTAAACTGATTTCTGTCAGCAGATGTTTCCTCAGAGACCCCAGCCATTGTCTTTAAGCCTGTCCTGCCTCGATCTCCTGGATAACCACAATCAGATTACCGTAAATCTTCTAAGATGTTCTTTTGCACTGTCCATTCAATCCTATAGAGCCTTCAACACATCCGCAATAGCAAAAGATATTATTAGCCTTTCGACTCTTCGTTGGTTACTGAAGAAGGAGACGGAGCACGTATAGGAATATCCTGAGTGGTGTTATGTCAATTCTTGATTCATTCATTCATTAGTTAATTCATTCTAAGAGGTTTTGATGTCTCAGTTCAGACTGTTTGGGGCCATTTGATTCTTCTACTTCTTTTGTCTAGGCTCTTTTCTGCTTTTCAGTTTTAGGTTTCAAGCAGCATCAAGTGTGAGCCTTGGTATGTGCTACCTAACTAGAAGCTAGTATCCACAGCCTCAGATATTCCATCTATCCATCACTTACATGGTGGACCTCTGGCTACGCTTCCATTATGTGTAAGTGACAGGACACTCTGTGGTGCGCTGTCTGGTGGTAGCCTTGACTACATTTGATCTCTTAATGCAGTTTAGCACTAGTTCTGTCCTCACTTGTTTTCTGATATCATTTCTGATCCCGTCTCTCCTTGATACATTTAGGATTATTCTTAGACATTTCATTTTTGGGTTTCATTTTTTTTTCTTGTCGCTTTTGCCACTTGAATCATCTTCTTCTTCTTCTTCTTCAGCATTCCGAGCCCTTGAGGTTCACTGCTGCAGATATCCCTCGCCTCCATTCATCTCTCTGGTAGACCTTCTCTTTCCAGTTGGCAACACCAAGTGTTTGCAGGTTTGTCTGGATATTATCTTTCCATCGTCTTCTTGGTCTGCCTCATGGTCTACGACCATTCATCTCCCTC